GTTAGCTATCTATGGCTCCCATAGATCCCAAACGTTAGCTAAGCTGGCCAGCGTGTTTCGTACATGTGACGTTAGTTTGTCCATAAGGTAGTTATCTTGCAATTTAGTCAGTATTTAGGAAATTGTAGGCGTCTCCTGGCTTAACCATTTCTGAGCTAGTGCCTTCTGTGTGTCTCTATGTGTGTGTCTGTGTATGTCTGTCTGTGTGTCTGTATGTATGTGTATGTCTGTCGGTATGTATGTGTGTATGTCTTTGTCTATATGTATGTGTCTCTGTGTGTGTATGTATGTGTGTTTGTATGTATTTGTGTGTGCCTGTATGTGTGTGTTTGTGTGTGTTTCTGTATATGTGTGTGTCTGCATGTGTATCTGCCTGTGTGAGGGGAGGGGGGAACGTATGTGAGGGGGACGGTAGATGTATGGGGGAGGGTGGCAGGTGGGGTAGACGTACGGGCGGGGATGTGGGTGGGAGGGGCAATTTTCGCACCGGGGCCCCGTGGTTTCTAGTTACGCCTCTGCCTGTGAACAATATTCCCTGTTCACCAGAACAATGCAATGTGAAAAAAATTAAAGCAGCTGTAGATAATTTAGGTATGCACTTTATTTTAATTTAGATCCCATTGTGCAGTCCACTTTGCTGCATATCACAACAATATGGTACGTTTACTGCCTTGGACATGCAGAAACACGATAACTCATCTGAGCCACAAATGTAACATTATCAAACAAATTAAGCCTGTAGTAACAAAATCTTATCTGATATGATGAAGTCATGTTTTGCTTTTATTTATTTTTTACAAACCTTTTTTTTTAATCATTCAGCAGTAATGGTAAATTTAGGGCTGCCCTTTCTGAGTGACTACAAGCTAAATGTTATTTAAGGTCAGGAATTTGTTATAATTTTCCTTTCAATGTGCAATCAAAGCTTGTTTTTGTCAAGTCAATAAGCATAATTTACACACCTATCATTGGCATATTATGCCATATCAATTGTGCTATAACCTTGCTTATACAGCAGCCTTGATTATATTATCCAGTGCTGGTCTTCATTTAATTTGGATATTTGGGAACCGGAAACATTCAGCCCATTTACCTTTAGAAACAATAAGCTGTACAGTGTAAATATTTTAGGTTAATATTGCAAAACCATAGCAAGATTCCTCAGTGAGCAATGCCGATCCTACTAAACCAGAACATCCTGTACAGATGTAAAATGCTGGCCCAACAATGTGTTGTTAGACTCCTGACATTCAATATCCTTATTTAAATATCCAATTGAGCTCACCTAAATTTAAACTTTAAACAGTTTACAAGAGCCTCTGGACATCGCCACTAATTCCTTGTGCCCTTAGCCTTTCACTGATGTCCGGGTTCAATAAAATTTAAATTGATCATTTGGAAATGCAAAGTCCAGTTGAAGAGGTGTCTGTGGGTGACCGAGACAGCTCTTGTTTTGTCGAACTACTACCAAATAATTTGAAAAAGAGTTGTGAGACAGTGCTCATAGTTATATTGCTTAGAGTGCCTCTTGAAACTAAAAAACATTTGGATCAATTTCTTGTGTTAATGATAACTCCTATTTTTTCTAAAATTCTACAGGGACTATTAAATATCACCTGAAAATTGACCCAAATGTCTTCAAAGCTTCAAATTGCTACTTTCTCTGTTAAGTTCTAAAAAAAGTATGAAAAAAAATACATATATTTATATATGTTCTACCACCTAACACAATACTATACTTTTCCTCTGTGACATTACTGAATGTGGTATGTAAATAGTTTTCTGCTGTAGGAACTTAAATATCAGTTAAAAAAAAGAGTTTGTTTTATAGATGTGTACTAGGCTAATGGACAGAGTATATGTGAGAAGATGAATATCTCACAAACATTTCATCCCATACCTTATATTTAGGATCAGTTTCCAAAATGGGAAAAATAGGCTTGCTTTTTTTTTAATGTTTTCATGCTAAACAAAAGTGCCCATGAGTCCAACTCCTCTGTGCAGCTTGTGCTAGTAAGGAATCATTAGCCTTAATAGTGGTGGTGGTTGTAATTGTCTGTAAATGTCAGCTGACCGTTTTCAGCCTATCACAGCGTACGTTGCTGGTATGATTTGGTATGGCTAAAAAGATGTATGTACTCTCTGCCTTAGCCATACCTCCAGTAGGAGCCAGGCATAAATAATTAAAAAAAAACCTCACATACAGCTATTTGTTATAGTCATATTCAATGTTTCTCAATTCCCAAGTTTAGTGAATATATCTTTAACTAAAGTCTGCTAGATTCTAATCTCTGAGGAGGGCCCAATTCAAATCTTGTTTATGTTTGCATACTTTGCCAGCAATCTGCTATTTTATGTTCCACACTAATGTATGTATTCAAGGGGTGTGCCCTCATGCCAGATCAAATTGTCCTCCCTGGCACCAGTATGGGTCTATGTGGGTGCTTGGATCAGCTTGTTCTGTTTTTGAAGACAGAATTGTGACTATCTCTGTATACAATTATTATCTTTAGATCAAACATATGTTTTGCATCCTAACTTAAAAAATAAATTAGGATTTTTGTAAGTAAAGCCTACATGGTAAGAACATACAACATTAAACCCTATGCCCAAACTCCCACTACCCCTGGGCGGCAGCAATTAGCCCCAATATTGTACATACATTAGCCCCAATTTATACAATAAAAAACAAAGAAAAAAGTTACTTCACATTATGTCTGTCTTATTAGAGATGTTACCTTATTGCCAAAGACAGCAAGGTGACTTGATACCGTAGCGTAGGACCTAAGGGGTTTGCCTTGACGTGGCAGCTGAGCTTACACTTAAATGGCCACTGGAGTGATGCTAACAAAAACCTCCAGTTATTTAAATGTGCACAGGGATTTGGGATAGCGCGTGAGTAACTTCTTTCTTTGGTTTTTAAAGTTTACATTGTATTTTATATAGTAATTTTTGTCTTACTGTGCACCCAAATTCAGCGTGCTTTGTCCTTTTCCACAAAATCAAACTGCAACACACTTCAGAATATGTGCTCTATAAATAGTAATAATAATAATAATAATAATAATAAAATACCACATGTTAAAGGTTGTATATAAGTTAGAAACTTCTATACAAGATATGTATTAAATATCTTGTATGGTATTATCGTGTATATCTTGTATGGTGTTTCATTAAAATTTTAATCTTTACGGCTTTGGTGAATATGTTGGTATTAAATAATAATAATGTAATTTTCCTTTTAGTTATAGTTTATATCCAGCACAGCCCCAAGTGGCATTTCAGTGTCAGTAACCGGTTTAAATGTCAGCATTGTCACAGTGTTCTGGGTGAGAAGAGTCCCAAATTTTCATGTCAATGACTGCTAGCACCTTAGCCCACGTACACAGCCCTGCCAGCTTCCATGCTGTTCCTCCCATACAGGGTGCCTGCCAAAACGTCACCAGCTGGGGGAATTCTCCGCCTCATTAGTGGGCGGTGGATTCATAACTCTAGCTACCTCCTTGCCAGTTAGACTCTGTGAGGAGTGAAAGGGGGAGGTTTAGTGTGGCTGCAGAAAGTCCTGAAAGGTCAATAAACCATCCCTGCTTATCTCTCTTGCATGTAAAATATTTAACATTTTCTTCTGAAAAAAGCAGGAAGTTTCTTTATTGTCCCTTGCAATTATAAAAAAAATTCCATTCGTTTTTCCCTACGCATATTTTCTCATTATATCATGTGTGTCGATTAACCCTTTTGTTCCCACAGAAATCACCAGGAGTATTACTCTAAAAGAGTTAATGTATACATATGGTAGTGAAAACATGAATATTTTAACCCTTGCTGTTCAGGAGATGTCATGTGTAGTTGTTATATATTAAAGGGTTACTGTAAGCATCATAATTACTACAATATACTGTAGTGGTTATTATGTCAGGAGTACCCAGCCTGGTTTAGTAGTGGATTAGTAATGTTTTGCGCTCTTACCTGGATACCCCGCCATAATCTGAGGTGATTTTCTCCTAGGTGATGCAACCCAGCTGCCACTCATTGGCCGAGAGCGTCAGCTGATCCACACAAAAGTGACATTACACCTTCAGCAAGGGATTAAACTGGACATGCGCAGCATTTTACAGCACAACCCTGCAAAATCCAAGTTCCATGACCGCTTTAAATCACTGAAGTGGTCATGGTGCTTGGAGTAAGCTGATAAACTTTCCAGTCCTATGGGGATGATACATTATGATGATTCATGTGGGACTCAAAAGATACACATCAGGGTATATATCATCAGTATCAGATCCAGAGTTGTTTAAATGTGGTAGTTTCCGTTCCAGAGATGGCATGTGAATTGGTCACATATAGTAAACGTTTCAGTCCTATGGGAATGATAAACTATGATTATTTATGTGGGACTCGAGAGATACACATCAGTGCATATATTATTATTTTCAAATCTAAAGTTGTTAAAATGTGGTAACTCTTAACCCTTTCAGTTCCAGAGATGGCATGTGAATTGGTCATAAATAGTAAACCTTTCAGTCCTATGGGGATAATAAACAGTGATGATCCATGTGGGACTGAAAGGCTTAATGAAGACACCCATAAGCAAAAGCGTTTGTGTAACCCTTTCAGTCCCATGGGGGGGTGGTAAAAGGCGGTGATATATGCGGGGCTGAAAGCGTAATATGTGAGGTGGGGAAATGTTTTTTTGCAGGTGTTTATAAAAGAAGAGCAAAATAAAGCAGACTGATCCCTATATGTTCTTAACAAAAAAGCGGACTTTTGTGTATAATTAATTGTAAGAGGCATTAAAGGGATTGCATACTTTCTACAAGAGAACATATTATGAAAATTAACCCCTTAAGGAAACATGACGGAAATATTCCATCATGATTCCCTTTTATTCCAGAAGTTGTGTCGTTAAGGGGTTAAAATGTAATTCTATCTGCAGGGTAATTAAAGAGGTATGGATGGTTTATTGCCCTTTCAGGACAGCATGCCTCCTTCCCTCCTCCCTCCTCACACAGCCTGCATGCAAGTTGACAGAGATGTGGTAACACATCTTTACAAGGAACCAAGTTGAGCACCACAGGTGTCACCTACAGAGAAAGGGACCAGTCTGCTGCAGGGGCCTAGTGAGTACCCAGGTCTGTACCAGAGACTGCTGCCTGGCAGAGGGCGTGCGTTTCAGATTGAAAGTGGCATGGCTAGTCTCACACACCCACCGGTGACACACGGATTGGGCTGGTAGTGCATGTGACGTGTAACAGTGGGGTCTTTGTGACATACCTTTTCGCAGCATCTTTACCTAGACTTTATAGAATCATGCTGCTTGTGAGCGACATGAACCTCTTGTCTCCAAGAGACTTGCGGCATGTGTCAACAGAGCAGCTGGAAAGTAAATACAAAGTTGCTCTGAGAATGCAGAACTTATCTTACGGACAGATCACTAAGAACATGTGACAGCAGACAATGCGCATGCAATTTAAAAACTTCTTTCTTTTTTTTCATTTTAACAGCACTGTTTGATACAGTATAATTGTTACAGATTGCCTGATTGATGGCTTGCTGTTAATGTTTCTGTCCAAATTAATATTATTATTGGTATTTATATAGTGTCAACTTACTACGCAGTGCATTACAATATTATAAAAGGGAGACATTTTACAATAAACGAAACAATTACAAAATGTTACATGATCAATAGATTGATGAGGACTCTGCTCAAACGAGTTTACAGTCTAGCTCTAGTCTAAATTAACAGAGAAAGTAGCAATTTGAAGCTTTGTAAGCCAAAACGTGTAGCCTTTAGACCCGTTTTTGACGTTGACTGTTTGGGTGAAGGAGCACTATTTGTGTGCACACATTTTTAAAGATTTGAAGTTGAATGAACTGAAATATTGCTACTGTACTTGTGAACTGCAGGAATTACAATAGTCATTATCAATCTTTATTTCTAAATATATCAATAGAGATGAACACAGCTGCAGAGAGGGCTGTCTGCGGATATTGGTCATGTCACTTCTACTCTGTCACATTGTCAGCGACAAAGTGCCATATAGGGCAGCCCTTCACCCCACACAGAAATTAATTTCTCCAACAGGCTTCTCATATTTCCTTTTTGTGTTAATCCTCCTGTTACACCTAATCCCTGCCTCCAATTGAATGCCAGCTGTATTGTATATTTTATTCTGAACTATTATGTGCAACACCTTAAAGGGCTCTGTTGCTTTATATGCATCTTTCAAATGTCTTCCTATTATTCTGCATGATTACACAATACTCATTTAATTCTAATGCCAAACAGGTACCACCCATTCCATATGTGTATGTATTAGTTATATGTATCCATATATCTGACTATCTGACTTAAAAAAAAAAATATATATATATATATATATATATATATTCGTTCAGGTCGTAAAATTTCAAGTTCTTCAATGCCAGCCTGGAAGGGCCAAGACACACTTACCAGGGGTGAATTTCTACAAACCAGGACAGAATTTTCACTTGCCAGTGGCTAGTGAAAAACTTGAGCCCTGGGATATTTATTTTCAAAGTTAGAGTGTTACTTTAATCTTGAATATATTCACAGCTGCGATATTATTGACATTTTCTGTCCACAAGGCAATCACAACCTGCCTATCTACTGTAGAGATTTTTTAGGAGTGAACTATCTATCATGCAGTATGGTTGGAAAAGGTACTGACACTTCTGGTCCTTTAGATTGCGAGCTCATTTGGGCAGGTGCCCCTTCACCTCCTGTTCCGTATACTTGTTTTCTTAGAATTAAATGTTTGTCCCATTTTCTATTGTACCGCACTGTGGTATACGTTGGTGCAATCTAAATACGTTGTTGTAATTGCATTTGTGAGTGTACTGGCCACCACCAAGCCCAATATTTATTTCTCTCATCTTCAAAAGGCTGCCATGTAAATGTTAGCGTTTGTGACATCTAAATAGCCACGGCGGTGCTCAGTTGAAAAGTAAAAGGCAGTCTAGTCAAACTGAAATTTTGGAAGCGCATAAGTGACTCATGACAACACTAAATAATCAAGTAGGGCAAACAGTGTGTACTGCAGACCTTGAACTAAGATTCATTAATAAGCCTTCTTTTCACAACCAGGAAAGTCATAACAGTAATTTTAGAGAATTGTAGCCTAACTAGTTTTTTTTACTCTCAGCTGCTTTGAAAAAAAAATTGAAATTGTATAAATAATCCAAAAAATTCTAATTTAGTGAGTAAACATTTTCGTTTTATTCTTAACCCAAATAGATTAGTAAATTGAATACACCGTGTTTATTCTACATCTGTATGTGTGTAACTGATAAATAAAATTCATGTTACGTCAATACTGACATCATATGTTGAACTCAGCCTTTACGCACAAACGGAGCGCAATGGCTATATACGTGCTTAGTAAATGTCCTTATTTTTGACTAGTTATAACTTTCAAGCAGGGGTGGTATCAGAGAGGTAGGGAGAGAAAATATGTGTGATATATAGGTATTGTTATGTGATGTCAGTAGGCTTTCTGTATATGTTTTGGGAGAGAGCTGCCCACATGTGATTTACACTGCTTACCTTCACCTGTCATTTTAAAGATTGGGAGTGTGCTTGACCAGATATATAGCAGAATATTGTAAAGCGCTACGGAACCTGTTGGCGCTATATAAATGGCAATAATAATAATAATAATAATAAGAATAACTAAAGTAGACTGGAAGCTCAGCGACTTGTCCATCATCACAAGAAAACAAAAAACACAATTCAGAGGATTGTAAAACTTTCAAATTTCAGCTTTTCCATTAAATTATCTAAAAAAACGTCATGTTGGAATCTTTGATGTATCATGCGAGAACATTTTTAATAGCTGTATAATTTCTTGCTTAACGCCTGATTATTCCCAGTTTAACCCCTTAAGGACACAACTTCTGGAATAAAAGGGAATCATGATGGAATATTTCCATCATGTGTCCTTAAGGGGTTAATAAATAACTCCATATTTCAATAAATACACAGTATACACAAATGCATACCTGTTCATCAATATCTGCATTTAAAAAAAAAATCAAATATAAAACCCTATGTGTTGGTTTGGTAGCACCTCTAGTGGCTTTCAGGAAGGCAGCCGCTACTGGCGTGTTTAACCCCTTCAATGTAGTTATTAGCGTTTTCACAAAACGTCAGTGTTTTACATTAAACTTTTAAAAATACAGGACCCCTGTACCCAAACCACTTCAATGAGATAGAGTGGTCTAGGACAACGTGACTTTAGTGACCCTTTAACAATTAAGTTGTAAAATGTCCTAATTTGCTAAGTGTTCTCTGATTATTTAAGTGTTGTATCTGTAGTCACAAAATCACGTTTTGTTTTCAGTTTTAGATTGTTTTCTTCAGCACATTGCGTAAGCTTAGGGAGCACCGGTTCCTTCTGGCAAGCATCCAAAAATACAGCTAATACTTATTTTGAATAGCTGGAAAAATAATTCAGAATGACTAATTTTCAAATGTTTCCTAAATGTGTGTCAGTATATTTTTTTGCATAATTTTCAAGTGTCCCAAATGTTAGGATTTTATATTTTGGGCCCAATTCCTCTGTCCCTTTTTTCTATCTCAATGTCCAGTTTTTCTAGGAGCTCCGTATTGTTGGTGCGTCTGAATGTATAACAGAGCTCCACAGCAATAATAATGACAGTAATGTGTCGTTGAAATACAATAAACGTTTTTAGAAATCGGTAAATAATGCATTGTATTTTAATATAACTTTTATTATATTAAATTATTATAACATTTCTCAGAATAGCCCCACTCCCACCCCCACCCACACACTTGAAGGGGCACTATAGCCACTAAAACCACTGCATCTTTATGTAGTGCTTCTGGTGTCCATAGCCTGTCCTCGTGCATTTTTTTATGTAAACAGTGCCTTTTCAGAGAACAAAAACAGTATACATTGCTGCCTAGGAGGACCACTAGTGACTAACTCAGACGGCCACTAGAGGTGCTTCCTGTGTCAGTGCAGGCACTGAGCTTTCCCCTAGAGATGCATTGTTTGATGCGTAATAGCCTTCCAATGCTTTCCTATGGAAAAGAATTGGATTGGCTAAGATCATCATGTTTGATGACCTCAGCCATGGAGACAGAGCTAGCTGCAGTGTGGGAAAAAAGGTGAGTTTAATAGAGGGGCCGGAAATCTAATTAATTAGTTTATCACTATACTATCATAAAGACATAACACTATATTTTTGTATTAGGTACTCTGTTTAAACTGTTCTGTTGATTTCTGGATTAAGTATTCGGATGTATGTAATAGCTGTTTGAGCTTTTGGGTAACTTTATTTTGTTTAATTTTTATATTTAGTTTTTTGGATGGTCCTTTCATTACCAATATGAGTACTTATATATTTTCTAATAAAATGTGTAAATTTTGTACATTGGTGTGCTCCTGTGTGATATTGTGTTTTACTGGTTTTGTCTTGTAGGGAACACGGTGGTTATAGTGAGTACCTCTTACCTTTAGTTCACGTATACTCATGTTGTGTGCCAGCCAGTATTTTAGTTGTCACCTATCGTGCACTTTAACATATGCACTAATTCTGTACCATGACTCATCTTATTAAGAGGTAATTAACATTTATATCCAGATGCTCCATATATACCCGGTAACATCAGGATATGGAATAAACCAGGACCCACACTAAATACTTGAAAGATATCAGTTGCTGGCTAGTCTTTTCCACTGCAATCCAGATAAAATGTACAAAATACCGAGACACACTTAAAGAGTGGTTAGCTAACTGAAGATTTGTCATGTGAATAATAGCTAGAACTCAGTTATGTATACAAAATGCAAAGTGTACAAACCAAAATAAGGGAATTATGATTTTTTTGGTGTTGTTTTTTAGAGCACTCCCTTGATTTGGTTTGTAAACTTAGCATTGTGAGGTTAAGTTGAGAATGTAATCATGCTGAGTTTGGTCTGTAGCTCATTTTTCTAGAACATATTTAAATTATTTGAGCGTCACCATACCTACACCTTTGTTTATTTATTTATATTTGGGGGTATACACATACACTAATCAGCCACAACATTAAAACCACTGACAGGTAAAGTTAATTACATTGATAATATAATTACAATGACACCTGTCAATGGGTGGGATATATTAGGCAACATGAACATTTAGTTCTGAAATTTCATGTGTTGGATGCAAGGAAAATAGGCAAGCAAATATATCTGAGTGACTTTGACAAGAGCAAAATAGTGATGGCTAGACGAATGGGTTAGAGCATCTTGAAAATGGCAAGTTTCATGTGATGTTTTCAGCATGCAGTAGTTAGTACCGATAGTGGTGCAAGGAAGGACAACCGGTGAACCGATCATGTGAGCCCAAGGCATATTAATGCATTGGCTTGGGAGTGAACGCTAGCCTCCGTGGAATGGTAACACAGAAGAGCTATTATCGCTCAAATTGCTGAAAAACATAATGCTAGCCTTGATAAAAAGGTGTCAGAACATAGAGGGCATCACAGTTTTAGGCATATAGGGCTGAGTAGCCACAGACTAGTCAGAATGCCTATGATAAACCCTATCTACCACCGAAAGTGCCTTCAATGGGGACATCAGTGCCATAACTGGACCATGGAGCAATGAAAGAAGGTTCCCGGTCTGTAAAATAATGGATGGCCAGGGTGCGTTATTTACCTGGAGAAGATATGGCAGTAGGATGCACTATGGGAAGAAGGCAGGCCAGTGGAGGCAGTGTTATGCTCTGGACAATGTTCTGCTGGAATACCTTGGGTCCTGGCATTCATGTGGATAGAGATTGTTGCACACTTACACCCCTTTATAGCAATGGTGTTCCCTGATGTCAGTTGTGTTCAGCAGGATAATGCACCCTGCCACACTGCAAAAACTGTTCAGGAATGGTTTGAGGAACATGACAAAGAGGTCAAGGTGTTGCCTTGGTCACCAAGTTCCCAAATCTTCAACCGATTAAACATCTCTGAGATGTGCTGGAATAACAAATTATATATCCATGAAGGCCCCACCTCGTAACTTGCAGGAGTTAAAAGATCTGATGATAATGTCTTGGTGCCAGACCACAGACACATTAAAACGTCTACGGAGTCCATGCCTTGATGCATCAGAGCTGTTTTGGCAGAGGGGGACCTACATGCTATTAGGCAGGTGTTTATAATGTTTGGGCTGATCAGTGTATGTCTTAAGGGACACCAACCGCAAATGTACTTAAAGGAATCCTATAGTGCCAGGAAAACAAAGTCATTTTCCTGGCACTATAGGGTTAATAGGTCTGCCCTCCCTCAGGGCCCTCTCACGCGGGGCTGAAGGTGTTAAAACCCATTCAGCCACTCACCTGAATCCAGCGCTAATGTCACTTGACGCTGGATCAGGCTCCACCCACACTTCTCCCCCACCGACGTCAGCCGGTGGGGAAGACCTAATGGCTAAGCGCGCATCAGACCTCCCCATAGGAAAGCATTATACAATGCTTTCCTATGGGGAAAATCTGATGCTGGGGGTCCGTGAGCCACAGAGGGCAGACTTAATGCTGCAATGTAAACATTGCAGTTCTCTGGAACCATTGGCGCACTAAGTGCAAAAGGGTCACAGCACCCAGACCACTTCAATTAGCCGAAGTAGTCTGGGTGCCTACAGTGTCCCATAGATAAGTGTGGAAGTGGTAGTTGATGCCTGTTGGTGTCAACATGCACCTCACCTTCATTTCTAGTGGCCATAGTACCAAAGAATTTGATACACTCGGTTCTAGATGTGTGCCAAGAGGTATACATAGTAAAATGATATACAATTACAATTACTAATAAAGCGCCAACACATTCTGCATCCCTGTACGATAGGTCAACAGGACAAACATTAAATTCTAACAAAACATTTATGACATACAGGAACAGAAGGTGAAGGGGGCACTGCCCAGATGAGCTTACAATTTAAAGTACATTTGCTGTATGTTTGGCTAACAGAATCAGATTTACTCACTGTTAGCGTTATTTACTGTGAGAATTCAAAGTGAATATAAAGTGTATTTCAAAGTTAAGCATACAGTAGCTGAATGGAAAGTATAGCTGTCTATTTGGCTACCTTAAATTTGAAATTCACTTTGAATTCCCCTTATTTTCTCGCTTTAGTGAATAAACTTGTAAAGTGAGAATTAACAGTCATTTTAAATAATTTCAAAGACATACTCAATTTTAAAGCAAAAATAGAAAAATTCACCAAGCCAGCTGGACTTTCAACTTGGCTATTTTGGCCTTAAATGTGAAATTCACTTTTCTTTTACAATTCTTTATTTTTGTTGTGCAGGTAAATACAGTCCAGCATTTATCGCCACATCCGCGACAAAAGGAGCATAGTAGTAAAAACACAGTGGCATGAGAAACTGCACATTTTTGGTATGTAAAGAGGATCACTATTTTTGTATATTTAACATGCTGATATAAGATGTCAACAAATGGGTAGGTATGAGTAGTAGGTGAAGCAGGCTAGATAAACAGACATTTTGTTAATCGAGGTAAAATAAAGTTATAACAAGAAGAAAATACAGTGCTAGGCTTAGTAATACTTTGTGATATGAATCAAGGTAATCTTTGGCACTGATGTGTTACTAGACAACAGATTGTTACTGCTTGGTGGACATTGAGGGAGCAAGTAAGACTGACAGGGAATTTATGAGGAGGCAGAGAAGAAACGTGGTCTGGCACCTCCTGCATTGGCACTAAAGTAGATAGGTCATCCAATACCCATGCTTGGCCTCCGCCCCCCTAAGCCTTACAAAGAAACCCGGTGTAGGTGTAAAGCTGCACAAAGTCCCCAGGTGCCCCGCCAGTCCCAGTTTGTGAGAGGAGCCTAGAAGCAAGTGCGTCTGTTTTGATGATTTATGGTACCTTTAATAAAGTCCCAGGGGGGTATGAAAACAGTCCCTCAGGGATGTGTTGGAAGTATTGGGGCAGTGCCCCAGGAAGTTCTGAGCCTGGGTATGCGGTAGAGGACCGTAAGCACTCCAGTAGCCAGGCTTGCGTCTGGTGGTCGGGTCGATCGTCTCCTCCGGTACCGGCGCAGCGTTGTGGTTTGCTTTTTCCAGTGCTTGGGTGGAGGAGTCAGCCGAGGAGCCGGGCCAGAGGAGAGGTTCATACTGTGGAACGGTATACCCCACTTGTGAGCCGGATGGTGTGACTCGCTCTCCTCTATAGCTCGGCACTGTCGGTTGTTCAGTTTTAGACAAAATGTTCAAATATTTTTTCCAGCCTCTCCGTAGTAGTGTCCAGTAGGTCGCGTGAGGGAGATAGGCAGTGTGCCCGCTATTTTTGCTCTTGCGGTGTGATAGACCCTGTGTACTCACTTGCCTCCGTAGGTAGACCGCAACTGGCGATCAGCCACGCGCCCTGTGAAATTCACTTTGGATTCCTGAAATTTGTGATTAACATGAATATATTATTACTTTTTTTAAATGTATTTTTTGTTTCACTTTATGTCATGACTGTTAATCTGCATTCTTGAAGGGCTTAAAGCAGTGTTATGCTCAAAGCAAGTGTAAATGCTTTAGTTGTGTTTCAGAAGCAGACATATGTTTAACTCTGCAATGGCATGACCCACTTGGAATGTTGTCAAACTGCTTTCTGTTTTCACTGTTTAACATTTACGTCAATATTAATAAAGGCTCATTAATATATCAAACAGGCCAGCATCTTTCTGCCAAAGAACAAATAAATTAACCTAACTGAACTTTGTCTCAGGAGGAAAAGTATTTTAAAAATGCAGAAACGTTGTGACATTTTGCTGTATGGCATTATTAAAATTAAGTTCTAGTTAGATCTGAGGGGACTAATGACAGAGTCATTCCATCATAGCAGGCCGTGTCAAGAAGACCCATGATTTAAAGGACCACTATAGGCACCCAGACCACTTCAGCTTAATGAAGTGGTCTGGGTGCCAGGTCCAGCTAGGTTTAACCCTTTTTTTAATAAACATAGCAGTTTCAGAGAAACTGCTATGTTTACATATGGGTTAATTCATCCTCTAGTGGCTGTCTCATTGACAGCCGCTAGAGGGCTTCCGCGCTTCTCACTGTGATTTTCACAGTGAGAAGATGCCAGCGTCCATAGGAAAGCATTGAGAATGCTTTCCTATGGACTGGCTGAATGCGCATGCGGCTCTTGTCGCGCATGCGCATTCAGCCGGTGACGGAAGAAGAGGGAGGAGAAGAGGAGGAGAACTCCCTGCTTGGCACTGGAGAAAGAGGTAAGTTTAACCCCTTCCTCTCCATCCAGCCCGGCTGGAGGGGGTCCCTGAGGGTGGGGGCACCCTCAGTGCACTATAGTGCCAGGAAAACGAGTATGTTTTCCTGGCACTATAGTGGTCCTTTAATAATTCTGTCAGGTACTAAAATTAATAGCGACGATCATGAAGTTAATGCTATTGCTGAGTGCCTTGATGCCCGAGGTAGATCAGCAACAGCAAATGACTCTGTCCCAGCACACGTGATCGTTAGGACAGTTATTTTGTGTGCTGCTAGTTATTAAATTATATCAATACAATTAAAACTCCTTTTAACCATCTACACCCAAATGTAACCATTTCCCCGCCCTTTTCTCACCGTGTGCAGCGATCAGAATACACATCACAGTACTTTACTGTGATCTGTTTTTGGTTGTTTTTTTTAATGGAAATATCTGGAGAAACCACCTACCACACATATCCCAGAAATGGGGATCATTCCACTTCACGCTATACACACCAGAGCTGGATATAGCTCTGGTAAATGTGAGTAGAATAGAACCTATACAATTTCGTATACATATCTCATTTACAGCACCATTGGAGTCTTTTTTCTTGTGTCTTGCATGTACTTCTGGAATGAGACACAAAGACTTAAAGACTTTTATACCCTTTTTTATTTCAGTATACCTGTATTTTATTTATTTAATCGGATATTTTATTTCTGTTACATTTACATATTTCATTTTTTTTTACAATTTTTGGCATATTCCAATTTCTATTAGACCCTACCTTGCTCCGCTTTTTTTTTTAGTATGTATGTATTAGGCAGACCTAACTGAAAACCATATGGAAAAATTTAGGCCAAAATAGCTGATGTAGAAGAATTCTCCAATTCGGTTACAGTCACAGTTCAGCTGCTTTTGCTTAAACTTTGCAATTTGGTTTACAACTCACTGCAATTCAGTTTAGTGAATAAATCTATGTAAGATTGTATTTGCTTTCATGAGGGGGCGGCAAAATGGATCTTTGCCTAGGGTGGCAGCGGCCCTGACCTCTCCACAGTGCTGGACTGTGCTCTTCCCATGGCAGGCATAGGATGAAGGGACTTAGCTACAAAGCACTCATGGTCACTCACCCTTGCATTACTCTGGTGCACCCTTCCCTGCTTTCTATATTTTACTTCTGATCTCATGTCTCGGAGTCTGAACTTGACTGATTCTTCCTGCTCTCCTTAAATTGATTATTGGGGGGCTTCCTGGGGAAATAAGCTTGATATACTCCTATGCCTCATATGCCTTGTTTATAAAAAGTGTGCAGGTTTCTCTTATGTTATACCAATGCTTTACTGTATCTGATCATGAAGTGTTTGCTCTTGCTGTCATGGCAGTACAAGCTTGTCTGTTATTATATGCACAGCAAAAAAAAAAATCAAAAAAAAATACTAGGTTGGGATTTGAGTCTACACAAAAATAATTGAAAGAAATTATCTTGTACTTTACTCACATTATTTTCTAACTTTAGTCTTTAGATTTTACTTGACAATCAAAGAAGGAAATGTGTATTTTTGTGGAATATCTGACAGTTGTAGTTTGAAAGCAAAATTATTTAGAGCAAATAACAAAAATAGCAAATGTAACATTCGCCAGCTTAGTTGCATTTAAACAACTTACAGTGGAACTCTATCTATTAATTAAGAATATCATTAGAATAATATAATTATGCAGTTTTGAATTGATTTGACAAGGGCTAATTCTATACTGTCATGTAAATCTCAACTTGAATTAATTTAATTAAAACAATTATGTTTATTAAATGACAGCTGTCACCAGTGTTCTTTTTTTTTTTTATCCTAAAAATCCTTGCAGCTTGTAATGAAAAGATATGCCTTTTATGGTACCTTTAACAATGTCCCATAAAGATTAATCAAAGATATGAAGAGACCTATTAAAATAATAAAATAAAAGCCATGGATCAATGGCAAAGAAACCTAGATATCTTAGTTGACAAAGAAGAATGTATCTATTCATTGAGCTATATCAAAAGGTAATACACTGCTTAAATCTAGTCGAAACAGACTATTAGATTATGAACAGGTGGTATAGAGTCCCTACCTTTTTGTCTAAAATATACCCAAATCTATCAAACACCTGTTGGAGATGCTGCCTAAATAGAGGAGATTTCTTGCATATATGCTGGCTATGCAAATAGTATATTGAAGTGGAAATCAATTCAATCAATTGATTATTTTGTGTATCTGCGCCTGGCCAAATTAAAGAAACAGTGCGTGCACGCTCCCTGAAGTAATTCACACCAGACACAAGTTTCAGGTTGATGAAAAACTTGAGGAATGTTTATTCAGAGGGGACGGCAAGTCCCTTTTAAAGCAGAATTACATCATATGCATTGTCAGAGATAACATGAAAAAATACATCATTAATTGGTTAGGTGTTAAGTGGTTATTTTAATGCTCAGCCTACAAGGGGTGATGTCACTAGTATCATGAGGGTCTCACCCAGATTCCAGCGCCATCTTGTTACACGAGGTAGTTAGTCGATGTTAGAGGGGAAGCTCCCTAGCGGCCATCTTAATTAATCACATAAGAGTTGGATAATGCTGATTATAGTTAAATGAGTAAATAGACATTTTACTAGCTAAAAATTATGTTAATATCTAATTTCCACAACATATATTATGATGAAAATAATCTCAATTTACTCCCAGAAACATTCCAGCTACATATGGGATTAGGTAAATAGCCAAAACATAATCGTGATTTTGTTATACACGTTATGATGGTGGCAAAGTGCGTAATCGCCAGACATTGGAGGACAACTGACACCCCACCAGGGCTGCCATCAGCTGACACAGCTCCAGGTCTGGGCCCCCCGGTGCATGCACCCGAGTCCGCCCAAAGTGCTGCCCCCCCCGAGTCCGCCCATAGGGATGCAGTGTCTGCAGGGCCGGTGCAAGGATTTTTGCCGCTCTAGGCAAAAGTAAAGTTTGCCGCCCCCCCCATGTGACATCACAATGCCCCACCCACATGATCTGCCATGTTAACTAACACCAGTGCTGCAGTGCCGCTGTGTTTACATTAAAAGGCCTGCAGGGACAGGCTAGACACCAGAACCACTACATTAAGCTGCAGTGTTTCTGGGGACTATAGTGTCCCTTTAATGTGAGGTAAATTAGAGATTAGTGCCACGAATAATATACTAGATTGCCTACTTACAACCAGATGAGGATGATGATGGGCTCTAGCTGCCGTCTGGCTCCACTGGTCTGGTGTAAAACAGGCTCTCTAGAGGCGGTTTGTAACTGTGGTCACAAAAATCAATGTTCTGGGAGAACGGGAAGCAGCTCCATTTTTTTGAGGGCCCTTTACACAGCTCAAGGTCTGGGTCCCAGGGTCCACCTTCATGTTCAACCAATGAGTTTGTTCACAGGGGGTGGAGTGTGTGTGCGGGGGATGTCCTGATGTGGGTAAGGAATGCATTGTGTGAATCTGTGTTTGTATGTGTAAGGGCTGCAAGGTGAGTTTGTGTATGTATGGGATGCAGTGTGTGCGTCTGTAAGGGATGCATTGAGTGTGTGTAAGGGGTGCATTGTGTGTTGCTGTGTGTAAGGAATGCATTGCTTGTGTATGTGTGTCTGTGTAATGCATTGTGTGTTTTTCTGTGTGCAAGGGGTGCATTGTGTGTGTGTGTGTGATGGATGTCAATTCTCTCCCCCCCGTCAATTTCCTTCTCCTCCCCCCGTCAATTTCCTTCTCCCCCCCTCTCCCTCCAATTTCCTTCTTCCCCCCTCTCCCTCCCTTCTTCTCCCTCCAACTTCCTCTTCTTTCTTCTCCCCCTCCAATTTCCTTCTTCTCCCCCTCCCCCTTCTTTTCTCCCCCTCCCCTCCCCCTTCTTTCCTCCCTCCTCTCCAACTTCCTTCTTTCTCCCCTTCTCACTTCCTTCTTCTCCCTCCCTCCTCATTTCCTTCTCCTCTCTCAATTTCCTTCTTCTCCCCCTCCCTCTCATTTCCTTCTCCCTCCACTTCTTTCTCTTCTCCCCTCCCTCTCATTTCCTTCTTCCTCCAATTTCCTTCTTCTTCTCCCCCTCTCATTTCCTTCTCCCTCCAACTTCCTTCTTCTCCCCCCCCCTCAAATTTCCTTCCACATACTTTTTTTTCTTCCATCCCCCCAGCCTCCCTACCTGTAGGAGTGCTTAGGGGATTCCCTGGGGGTCCAGTGGTGTCACCCAGCGGCCGGTCCTGCGGGCGGGTGGGCGCGCGAGGGAGCACTCTCCCTGGCTGAGTGCTTCCTCTTCAGCTCCCTCGTGCGCCGCGTACTGATGCTACCGCCGGAAGATGACGTCATTGGGCCCTATATCTAACTGGAAGCCAATGCAGGGACTGACAGAGAATTCATTATAGACTGCAGAGGTGCAATCTGGGAACACGTAAGACCACTGAGAATGGGATTGCAGTAGTCAAGGCGAGAGAGAACAACAGCATGGACCAGCACCTTAGCCGCATCTGGGGTTAAACAGTGCCGGATGCGCACTCTGTTTTTGAGATGAAAGCGACAGGATTTGGCGATTGATTGGATATGAGGGGTGAAGGAGAGGTTGGAGTCAAAAAGAACACCCAGACAGCGAGCCTGCGAGCTAGAGGTGATGGTAGAGCCGTTGACTTGGAGGGAGACAGACACAGGAGTAGTAACACTTGAGGGAGGAAAGACCAGAAGTTCTGTTTTGGACAGGTTGAGTTTAAGAAAGTGAGCAGCCATCCAGTTGGAAATCGAAGAGACATGAGTCAAGATGGGCAGAGAGAGATCAGGACAGGTAGATTTGCATGTCAACACACAGAAAATACAAAAAAATCTAAATATAGGTGCGCTGTGCCTTTAAGACAAGATGATTTAAAGTGCAACAAGTGCTGTATTGTGCAAAATGTGATATATATATATATATATATATATATATAAAGTGCATACATTTCCTTAACACTTATATTGCGCACATAAGTGTACAACTGTGGTAAAAAACACAAAACACTCACTTGTAAATTCATATGTAGATCCTCTCCATGTAACATAAAAAGGAGGGAAAAAACAACAATAGTGTAAATCTATAACACAGAAAGCAAAGTTTAAATATATAAAAGTGTGCACTAACAAGAGTAGAGCAGAAAAGTCTGCTCTAACTATAACAGCTCCCAATAGCAATCCCTCCTGGGATAAAAACGCAGAGACAAAACAATCCACTTTTAGATTTATTGCACAGGTTTTAATAGCAGCTCTCTCCAAAATTCCCCCTCGTACATACAGTGTGCCAGTTCAAACACTTCACAGTGGAAAGGACAGCGTCTTACACCATGAGCAGCCAAAACGCCGCAATCAAAGACTTCCGGGGGCGGAGTTACCAATCTGCAGGCTTCCCGATGTGCGTTCATAGATTTGCATGTCATCTGCATAGAAATGATAACGGAAGCCAAAGGAGCTGATGAGTTTACCAAGGGAGACAGTATAGATAGAGAACAGTAGGGGACCAAGGTGAGAACCTAGGGGGATGCTGACAGAGAGTGGTTGGTGGAAGAGTCAGAGAAAGAAACACAGAAAAAGTGCTGGGAGAGGTAGGAGGCGCACCAGGAGAGAGCAGTCTCCCGCAGAACAAAATTACAGAGAATGCGAAGAAGCTGTTGATGAAGGCAGCAGAAAGATGAAGGAGAATTCGAATAGAGTAATGGCCACGAAATTTAGCAACAATTAAATCGTTGGATACTTTGGTCACAGCCGTTTCAACAGAATGACCAGCGCGGAATCCAGACTGAAGGTTGTCAAGCAGAGAGTTGGATTTGAGAAAGTCAGTCAGTCTGGTGTACACAACTCTTTCGAGGATATTGGAGGCAAATGGCAGTAGCGAGATAGGGCAGTAGTTGGATGGGGAGTTGGGGTCAAGGCTGGGCTTTTTCAGAATTGGAGTTACAGTTGCATCTTTGACGGGTGAGGGAAATGTGCCAGAGGAAAGAGAGAGATTGAAAATTTTAGTGAGAGAAAGAGCAAAAGAGGGAGACAAAGTGCGGATGAGATACGAGGGAATAGGATCGAGGGAACAGGTGGTGGGGCAGGAGGACCAGAGCTGAGCAGAAACCACTTCTGCTGTAGCAGGTGTGAATGAGTGTAGAATGGTGGAGGGAGTGGGGTTGGGTGATGTATTGGTAGGAGAAGGAGAGAAGGAGAGAACTCTTCTCTGATTGTAGAGATCTTCTCAGGGAAGTGAGATGCAAAGTTTGTGGCGGACAGGGTGGTAGAAGGAGGGGGAGTAAAAGGGCAAAGAAGAACATCAAAAGTGTGAAATAGGTGTTTGGGTTGGTGGGACAGTGTACTTGAGGGTGTTTAAAGGAATACTCCAAGCCGTAACTGCTTTTGTGTATGTGGTTTTAGCAATGCCCTTGTGTGTTAACAGAGTAATATGTCAAATCATTTAAGAGCAGTTTGGCAATTTACCTTGGTCCCTGGGTGCCTGCGCCTCATCTTTCTACCTATGGAGGAGAAGCAGGATGTTTCCCCTGAGCTATGCATAGTCCTCTACAAGGGCATTGTCCATGACTGAGAGCACTCAGCTCATGTGCACTAATTTTGAAAATGGGAAACAAGGGAGCAGACGTACAATGTATTGAATTTGCTTTATTGCTATTATTATTATTAATATGTATTTCACCAAATAACCCATCTGGCACTAATACCCTGCCAAATTAAAACCAGATTATTATATATCGGTTTAATTTGTAAATGCAGAGTCTAGTTTATACCTGCACTTATCAGTATAAGCAAATATTTACAATGCCGTAACAGTTTTTTTTTCTCCTTTCCAAATACAAGCGCTATCTATTCTCCCCTCCTCCATTCTAATTACACCATTTGTGAGTTCACTGGAGGATAAATTCTGTAATATAGATGATGGCTTGTATGTGAAGCACTTCATGTGCGGAAGCCAAATTATGAATGGAAAACATTCTGGGTAATTTAATAAAGAAGTGAATGCGTTTTACACTGCTTGTCAATGGCACATGGAAATATTTTTAAACAAGAGTTTGAGAAACTTTTTGTCACTTAGAAATGTAAGTACAAAGCCAAGTCCTAATACAATGCTTTATCATTTTTGTATCTAGTCATAAAATGCTTTTCTTCTAACAACATAGATATGCAAGTGTTTTTCTATAGAGTATGTCTGTCCAAATAAACCCCTAAAAAAGATGTATTTAGCAAGAAAATGTTCTATTTGCCCAACAGGGGAGGATCTAGAGCCCAAACTAGGGATGCACTAAAATGAAAATTCTGTGCCGAAATCGAAACCGAAAATTCAAGATGCCCTTGGCCGAAAACCAAAATTTACCTTTTTCCCAAGTGATTTTAAAATAGTTTTTTTCTATAATTTTATTAATATTAGACTTTATATTACACAGTGTGGGATGTGGTGACTGGTGACAGAGTGACGGGGTAACCGATGTCTCAGATAGGGAGGGAGGAGGTGACTGGTGACAGTGAGTGAGGGAAGGGGTGATTGGTGACAGTGACTGAGGAAGGGGGTAACAGCGTGACTGAGGGAGTGGGTGACTGGTGACTGACCGAGGGAGGGGGTGACAGAGTGACTGAGGGAGGGTGTTAGAAATACCACAGCTTCTATCTATCTCCATTACTGACAATGAAGGAGGTGCTCAGTTTCAGAAAGTTGCTGAATACAACAATGAGGATTTTAACATTTAATTTTATTTCACAGCCATTACAAACACATCTCTGTTAAATTAAGAATATTACAGGGCAGCACCTTTCCTGTGGGGCCCACCCTCTATGTAGAGGTGATATGTGTCCACAAAAATTGGTGCATTTAGCAATTCTAAAGCTAGCCCCTCCTTACTTCCTCCTGGTCTAGAATTCCAGTTGAGGAAGTTTGGGCCTCTGCGTAACATGGAAGATTCCATTCACAAAACATGGGTGTTTTTTTTAATGTATTGTGCTTAACAAGTGATAGGCCTGAATTTTTTTTTTGTAACAGATTGAATGCAGGCTATTTGGGGATAGAGTGGGTGTAACCCCTCATTGCGTTGCAGTCAGCCAAACATAAATTCTTGTGGCTTCTCCAGGGGCGTTATTTGCCCTAGTAGTCCCCCCACAAGATTCACCACTGGTCCCCAATAATTGCAACCTTAAATTAAACTTTTTACATCAACAAAAAGTTATGTCAGTCATTATATTAAATAGCTCATTCCTACTTTCCTTTTATATCTAATAATTTTTTGCTATTTGGGGTGAAAGAGCTAAATAAAGAGCAATTGCCATGGAAACCAAAATAATGTTTCTTCACATTTATCACTGTGTCCCAGAATGCAGGGGTTCCCGAGCAACATATTTGTACATTTCCTAGCTTGCCTCACCTCCATTTAGAAATTTTACCACTGGGGGAAATTGAAGTGCTTGTAAAAAACAGATATTTAAAAACTACTTATATAGTTTTGTTGAGAACCAAAACTGAACATTATCATGCGACTGACACAAGCCAACAGTAGGCTGGATCTAAAACAAGTTTCATATATGTACCTAGATTGTACATTTACCTCATTTGTCTCTGTTGTCTCTGGTTTTCTGACGAGCTCTTGGATTTTGCCACACTCATTTACAATTACATGTTCCATTAAAATAACACTATAGGGTCAGGAATATATACATGTATTCCTGACCCTATAGTGTTAAAAACACTATGTAGCATCCCTGCCCCCACCCAGCACCCCTAAATATAGTAAAAGCTTACCTTTATTCCAGTCTGCTGCTGTTGACTCTGATTTGCCATCTTGGCTGACATCATCAGAAGTGTTAACTGAGCCAATCACAATGCTTTTCCATATGAAAGCATTGGTTTGGCTGAGCTTCTCAAGGAAGCAGGTCATGGGCAGAGCCAGGACATGCCAAAAACAGCCCTGGCCAATCAGCATCTGCTCAATGTATCTCTATGAGGAAAGTTCAGTGTCTCCATGCAGAGGGTGGAGACACTGAATGTCAGTGCTGTACATGCCACAGGAAGCACCTCTAGTAGCCATTTGAGGAGTGGCCAGTGGAGATATTCCTAGGCTGTAACTGAAAAGACAGTGTTTACTGCAAAAAGCCTGAAGGTACAGATTATACTCACAAGAACAAATACAATATGTTGTAGCTGTTCTGGTGAATATACTGTTCCTTTGATGTCTAAATGAATCCGGAGCTGTAATTAGGCCAAGGTGTTTAAGATAAGTCCTGGCATCCAGTACAGTTTGTTAGTCCTTTAAATGGGTGTAAAATGAATCTCCCAGTAGGCTTATATTTCATTTGTCAACTTCCATAAAAAAATACATTCCAACTTCATAACTGCAGTAACCTTATTTTAAACTGCTGTACATTTTATTCCAACTTGACTTGCTACATTTGTATAATTGTACTGGATACATTTCAAGTAATGGAAGAAGACTTTTAGTACATTTTTTTTATTTCTATTTTAGTTTGTTCTGTGCAAAAGGGCTTTAGTTCATATGAGTGAATTTCTTATGCAGTTGGTGAAAAAAAGCACATCAATTGACTCATTTATAGCATCGCTCAAGTTGTGGTGAGCCAACAAACATAGTCAGTCATACTGAATTTGCTGAAATTGGCAAATAGAAAAGTAATCTAAAAATAAATACTTGGGACCATAAGGATCACTACTAATCAACTCCCAGGTTGCTCTGGTTCATAATAATACATATGGGGAGAAAAAAAATAAAATAAAATATTGCGATATACTCAAATCAAATATAAAAGAGGGAAAAATGCAAAACATACACATTAAAAAGCTAGCAGGCTGAAAGTTAGGGGAAGGTAAGAACAAGTAACTATTGCATAGTGGTACTCCTAGAAACAGACTCACTGCAGGAATTATAAGCAGGGTGTTATTTTGACCTTAGGAAATTTTTGCATTTTTCACAGCAATTCCAAGAAAATGTGTTTCCACAATTCTCCCAGAATTCTCAGCTCAACATGCAAATGAGCACACACTGTACTTCAGGCTTCACCCCGCACCATAAGCAATGGAATATTGTTTTAAACACCACTTTTTAAACCCAAGAATGAGTTGTGACTAAGCACCATGCTGACAAAACCCCAGCAATGTAAACTGTACAGTACATTATTGGTTTCAGGTCATTGAACTTTCTACACAACCCATGCTTTTCAAATAGTGTTCTCGTTGCTGAGGGTGGCTGTAGAAATGTCTATGCTCATTTGCATGTCAACCTTGGAATTTTGGGAAAATTCAAGAGCATGATGATAGGATAAAATCAAATAACCAACCGGACATTTTGTACTCAGCATCCATTTTCTTGTTTAACTGCTTATATTTGCATGACATTTATAATATGAAGACTATAGACATAATAAAATATATCTTGTTTCTAACTGCGCAAGTAACCTTGTACCAGATGAGTCCCAGTAAATGTGCAGTATATATTTTAGGGAACAAAAATAAACAAAGCCACAACTCAGTCAAGCTGACCCTCATACTTGATAACATGCTTTCTTCTTATCAATGTCAAGTTAAATGTCAATGTCTGTCTGTTAATGAGTAACTTTTGACACATGATGTTAGCCAATCCAATTTCCCTATGGGAAAGCATTGGATTGGCTAAAAATCGGCCACTTTGATGATGTCACAAGAGGTGATGTCACAAGAGGTGAGTTTTAAACTTTTATAGGGGGAGAAGGGGGTGGGGGGGAGGCAAGCCACCTAAATGGTGGGGTTAGCACTATTTGGTCAGGAATACATGTTTGTGTTCCTGACCCCATAGTGTTCCTTTAAGTTAAATAAACAGTCAGTCCATAATACAGACATGAGAAGATGCAAGACATTTCTAAGTAGGATTTAAACATTAAGCTAAGAGGTTTATTCACTAAACACAAAATTGTAGTGACTTGGAACCTAAATAACACAAGCCAAACTGAGATCATAACATAAATGAAGAATAATTCCAAATAATTAATTAATTAATTAATTACAATTTAGTTTAAACCCTTAACAACGCAGGATGGAATAGCACGCCCTATGTGTTGTTAAGGGTTTAAACTAAATTTTAATAAATTAATGATGGCTCTGCCATCCTGCAACATCTGGACTTTAAAGCCGCAGGGTGGCATAGCATGACATATCAATTGACATCCTCCCATCCCCCAGCCCGGATGTTCACCATGCTGCCAATTATGATTGAGGGGACTGCCTGCAGTCAATCAGTAATCAAATGACTGGATCAGCTTAATGGGCAGATTCACTGCAGACTGGGTTGTCAGACAGATCCCAAACTTATAATTAATAAAAATATGCTAACACTTTGAAATCCAACTGCGATTTCCAGCTGGATGGCTGCTCACTTCCTTAAACTCAACCGGTCCAAAACAGAGCTTCTAGTCTTGCTACTCCCGTGTCTGTCTCCCTCCAAGTCAACGGCGCTACCATCACCTCTACCTTGCAGGCTCGCTGCCTGGGTGGTCTTTTTGACTCCAACCTCTCCTTCACCCCTCATGTCCAATGAATCGCCAAATCTTGTCGCTTCCATCTCAAAAACATAGCACGCTTCCGCCCCTATTTAACGCCGGATGCGGCTAAGGTGCTGGTCCATGCTGTTGTTCTCTCTCGCCTTGACTACTGCAATCCCATTCTCAGTGGTCTTACGTGTTCCCAGATTGCACCTCTGCAGTCTATAATGAATTCTCTGTCAGTCCCTGCATTGGCTTCCAGTTAGATATAGGGCCCAATTTAAAATTCTGGTGCTTGCTTACAAGTCCCTACATAATGCTACTCCAACCTACCTATCCTCCCTAATACACAAGTATGTCCCGTCAAGGCCCCTAGGCTCTGCCAAAGACCTACGTTGATCCTCTGTCCGTACTCCCACCTCTGATCCTCACCTCCAAGATTTCTCCAGGGCTGCACCTCTTCTGTGGAACTCCCTTCCTTTCTCCGTAAGACTTTCACCCAGTCTCCACTCATTTAAAAAATCATTGAAAACTCACTTCTTTAAGAAAGCACATCAATTAAACTGTTAGCAGGTTTTTATCCCCCAACCCCCATGACTCCCCTCCTGCAACTGTCAAAAATTACCTACTACCCCTTCTTTTACCCTTTGTGTCACTATACCCCACTCCCTCTAGCATGTAAGCTTATTGAGAAAGGCCATCCACCCCCTCTGTTCCTGTACGTCCAGTTGTCTGGTTACAGACTGCCTATCCCTGTAGTCCTTCCTCTCCCTGCCTCTCCCTGGTCTAGGGATATTGCCATGGCCCTGTGTCAGATGAGATATTAGTGTGAGCAATAACAAAGAAAAGAATAGCAATGAAAGTGGGAGCAATAGCAGTGGTAGAGGAAAATCACAATGGGAGACGGGAAAACAGAGCAAGAGGGCAAATCTATATTGTGGGAAAAGAATAGTGGAAAAGATAGATAGAAACAGCAAGGGAAGAGATTTTAATAATGGACAAAATTGTCAATAAATGATGACATGTACAATCCTGGTTGTTAAATGTGTGCCTGATCATGTGCCTAATTTTGTAAGCATCTCATTTTTTTCATTACCAGTGGATATTATTTCCTACTAATAATATTTTGCATGTATGTTCATAATCTTAGTAATGATATATATGTGTAATATTATACAAAGAATATACATACGTTTCAAAATTTACAGTTTTTAATATTGTGTTTTTTTTTTTTTTTGCAATGAAACACATTTATGTGTTTCATAATATTCCTTATGATGATGTTAATCAAATTTCTGATTCCCGTCAAAAGGAAGATCAATGACATACACGGTTATTGCCTATATTTTCTTGTGCAGCACACATAAATCAGCTTAATTTTAAACTGGATTTAGTGTTTTTTGGGGGGGCATATTTAATATAGAACACTTAAATTGTTTTTACAAAATCTAACATTGACATGCATGGAAATGATGCCATAAACAGATTAATTCTTAGACCAAAACCCTGACCTTTAATCCATTTGAGTAGACTCTGCCCAGGATGCTACATACAGATCAGCTGTAAAAATAAATGAAAAACAAAAGAAAAGCATGCAAAAAAACCATACAAAGGGGCGGGTGGGCAGGAAGTTGGAACAGAAGTTTGAACAGTTTGACAGACAGAAATTGAAGAAGTAGACTGAGTACAATTCAACATTTTTATAGACAGCAAATGTTGAATGCTTACATGTATCCCTTGAAATCAACATTAATATGCTCTATGTCAAGCATGAGACAGTCATGGACCATTGTCTTAAAGCAGTCTGTATGGGAAAACTCTTTTGAGTTTGTTTCAATAAATATTGACATAGCTACTTACTAAAGTTAGAATTCAAAGAGAATTGCAAGTGATTTTCAAATTTAAGGCCAGACTCGCTGAACTACAGGCATAGATGACTTCGAGAATTTTTCTAGTTTGGCTATTTTGAACTTAAATTTTGAATCCACCTTCAATTCGGAGTTTAGTGAATAACCATGTCAGTTTTGAGGAGTTGCAAAATTCAAGTGAGTATATTTTCCAACTCTATATTTTCTTTTGTTATGTTTAAATGCAAACCATTATTTATTTCTATTTTTTTGTATTGTGACTATCTCTGGTAATTATCAATTTTTCCCTTGTACTTTTAGGAAACTTAAAGGAATCAGGCATGAGTCAGGAGAGTCATGAATTCCCCAAATCCAGTGTCAGTGTTCTCCCACCCGGCACTATACTTCTGGAAGAGAAGGAGAAAAAAAATATTAAACTGAAGACCCGCTTAGCTGAGAAGATAAAAAAGAACTGCACCTGTTCTCCAGTCAAAGCCAAAGATATGTTCTTCAGTTTTTTTCCTGTCCTACAATGGCTGCCTAAATACAATCTTAAAGAATGTTTATTAGGTGATTTAATGTCTGGACTTATTGTGGGGATTCTTCTGGTCCCTCAATCTATTGCATATTCACTTTTAGCAGGCCAGGAACCCATATATGGTCTTTACACCTCTTTTTTCGCCTGCATAATCTATTTCTTAATGGGAACTTCTCGTCATATTCATGTCGGAATCTTTGGTGTGCTGTGTCTGATGGTCGGGGAGGTGGTGGATCGAGAGCTGGAGGCTGCTGGGTACAACAAGCCGCAGAGCCATGCAGGTCACTACTCTGATGCATATGAATTTGATGGAAACAGCACACACAGTGCCTTCGCTATAAATGTGACTGCAGCGTTGACATGTGACAAAAGCTGTTATGCCATCACAGTTGGTGCAACTGTTACTTTTATGGCAGGAGTGTATCAGGTAGGATTTAAATAAGAACTACAAAAAATTCACTCAATATTGTATTTTGAAAACAAATCTGGAATCATACGGCAAAGTCCATTGCAATCAAGGAATGCAAGGCATCAGAAGTGCTGTGGAATCATGCATGTATACTAAATAATGATAATAATAGTTGCAGGAAGTGTGAAAGTTATTACAAAGCTCATCACCCATTGTTGAGAGTTAAAGGGTTATTCCAAGCACCATGACCACTTCAGTAATTGGAAATGCTCATTGTGTTTGGAGTCTGTATGCAAATGCAGATATATCTGAGGTTGCTGCTGGAGGGGTAAGGCTGATGTAGAATATTACTGTCGTCAGCATGCATAGCATACTAGCAATGGAAATCTAATGGCTGCACAGTTCCTCCTTAAGTGCCACCCTCAGCCTTGCCTCCTTGGCATATCCTCGCTCTCTCTCAACAGAGGCATAGGGCTACTGGAAGAACTTGGCATCAGGGCAGTACCAGACTGGGAAAATAATTCGACCCAGGCATTTTTTAATCACAGTGGCCCACTAATAATGGGGTGGGACCAGATATGGGGTGTTTTGTCATCATCTATGACAAACACACACCCCCTCAAAGTGAGCATGTTTGTTCAATGCTCTTCCAGGGCATCCCATGAAGCGCTCTCGTATGAGGAAAAGGCCCTGTATTTGTTCTGTGCAGTGCAAGCAAATTTATTAACATGCTTGCACTGTGTTTGCTTATGACTTGTCTCTGAGGTACCAAAGGACAAAAGGACTAAGAAAGCACATTGTGCATGTGTTTGAAGCTTGTGGGATTACGTGTGTGTAGAGTGAGCGATCCGCTTCGGGGGACTGCCTTTGATTTATAATATATATTATATATATATTTATAGTTCCATCCTAACTGTATTTTAATAAGAATCAAAAGAATGAAATAATATATATAAATGTATACATAAAAATAATTTAAAATATATACATTTCATTGCATAAGGAATTACATAAATATACACGTAGAATTTAAATAGATATATGTGTATATCTATTTAAATTCTATGTGTATATTTATCTAATCTTTATGCATAATTAAATGATTGTATTAATTAGAATTTGAGGAACCTGTCTGACAACCCAGGCAGAAAGTCCAGATAATTTAATTTAAAAGCCCTATATTTAACCCTGTAAGATTCCAGAACACCATACAACCTGTACATGGGGGGGGGGTGGGGGGGGGGTACTGTTTTACTCGGAAGGCTTTGCTGAACATAAATACTAGTGTTTCAAAACCATAAAATATATCACAACGATTAAATAATCAGCCAAAGTGCAGTTTTTGTGTGAAAAAAAATGCAAAAAAATAATATGAATGCTAACTTTGATCAGCTTTTGTGACTAAGTGGCTACTAAAAAATACTGACAATACCCAATTTTAAATACCCTGGGATGTCTACTTTTTCAAATGGTATGTCATGATAGGGGTAATTCTCATTCCTGGGTTACCAAAGGCAACATAACCAATCTGGAAAATGTCAATGTGCAAAAACAGAAATGGCTAAGTCTTTTGACTTTTTATTTTCCAAAACACCATGAAACGTGTACATGGGGGGTACTGTTTTACTTCTGAGATATTGGAGATAAATATGGGGTAAATTTTATTCCTGGGCTGCCATACGGTCTCAAAGACAACTCTGACTCAGCAAATCAATCTGGCAAATTTTAGTGTGTAAAAACTGTAAATGGGAACAGTCTATGTATGTGTGTGGACTCAGCAGTCTTTCTGTGTATGGACTCAGCAGTCTGTGACTCTCTCTGTGTGTGCATGTGTGTGTATGGACTCAGCAGTCTGTATGTGTGTGTGTATGGACTCAGCAGTCTATGTATGTGTATGGACACAACAGTGTGTGTGTGTGTGTATGGACTCAGCAGTCTGTGTGTGTGGACTCAGCAGTCTATGTGTGTGTATGGACTCAGCAGTCTGTGTGTGTGTATGGACTCAGCAGTCTATGTGTGTGTGTGTGGACTCAGCAGTCTATATGTGTGTGTATGGACTCAGCAGTCTGTGTGTGTGTGTATGGACTCAGCAGTCTATATGTGTGTGTATGGACTCAGCAGTCTATATGTGTGTATATGGACTCAGCAGTCTATATGTGAGTGTGTATGGACTCAGCAGTCTCTGTGTGTGTGTGTGTGTGTATGGACTCAGCAGTCTGTGTGTGTATGGGCTCAGCAGTCTGTGTGTGTATGGACTCAGCAGTCTATATGTGTGTGTGTATGGACTCAGCAGTCTGTGTGTGTGTATGGACTCGGCAGTCTGTGTGTGTGTGTGTGTGTATGTATTTAGCAAGCTGTTTGTGTGTGTGTATGGACTCAGCAGTGTGTGTGTGTGTATGGGCTCAGCAGTCTGTGTGTGTGTATGGACTCAGCAGTCTATATGTGTGTGTATGGACTCAGCAGTCTATATGTGAGTGTGTATGGACTCAGCAGTCTGTGTGTGTATGGACTCAGCAGTCTGTGTGTGTATGGACTCGGAAGTCTGTGTGTGTGTGTATGTATTTAGCAGTCTGTATGTGTGTGTATGGACTCAGCAGTCTGTGTGTGTGTATGGACTCAGTAGTCTGTGTGTTTATGGACTCAGCAGTCTGTGTGTGTATGGACTCAACAGTCTGTGTCTGGACTCATCAATCTGTGTGTGTATGGAGTCAGCAGTTTGTGTGTCTGTGTGTGTGTATGGCTTCAGCAGTCTGTGTGTGTGTGTGTATGGACTCAGCAGTCTGTATGTATATGGACTCAGCAGTCTCTCTGTGTGTGTGTGTATGGACTCAGCAGTCTGTGTCTGTATGGACTCAGCAGTCTATGTGTGTGGACTCATCAGTCTGTGTGTGTGTATGGATTCAGCAGTCTGTGTCTGTGTGTATGGACTCAGCAGTCTGTGTGTGTATGGACTCAGCAGTCTGTGTGTGTGTGTGTGTGTGTATGGACTCAGCAGTCCATGTGTGTATGGAATCAGCAGTCTGTGTGTGTGTGTATGGACTTGTAGTCTGAGTGTGTATGGACACAGCAGTCTGTGTGTGTGTGTGTGTGTGTGTGTGTGTGTATGGACTCCGAAGTCTGTGTGTGTGTGTGTATGGACTCAGCAGTCTATGTGTGTGTATGGACTCAGCAGTATGTGTGTGTATGGACTCAGCAGTCTATGTGAGTGTGTGTGTATGGACTCAGCAGTCTGTGTGTGTGTGTGTGTGTGTGTGTGGGCTTAGCAGTCTATGTGTGTGTGTGTGTGTATGGACTCAGCAGTCTATGTGTGTGTGTGTGTGTGTGTATATGGACTCAGCAGTCTGTGTGTGTGTGTGTATGGACTCAGCATTCTGTGTGTGTGTGTGTATGGACTCAGCAGTTTGTGTGTGTGTGTATGGACTCAGCAGTCTGTGTGTCTCTGTGTGTGTATGGACTCAGTAGTCTGTGTGTGTATGAACTCAACAGTCTGTGTCTGGACTCATCAGTCTCTGTGTGTGTGTGTGTGTGTGTGTGTGTATGGAGTCAGCAGTTTTTGTGTCTGTGTGTGTGTATGGATTCAGCGGTCTGTGTGTGTGTGTATGGACTCAGCAGTCTCTGTGTGTATGGACTTAGCAGTCTCTGTGTGTGTGTATGGACTCCAGGCCCGGACTGCAAATGGGATATAACTTTTTTATATTTAAATAAAAAATACATTCACACTAACAGCTCCCTCACACACACAGCACCCCCAGACACACACATAGCAACCCCAGACACACACACCACCATCACACACAGCACCCTCACACACACAGCACCCTCAGACACACACAGCACCTTCAGACACACACAGCACCTTCAGACACACACAGTACCCTCACACACACAGCACCCTCACACACACAGCACCCTCAGACACACACAGCACCCAGACACACACAGCACCCCCAGACACACACAACACCCTCAGACACACACAGCACCCAGACACTCACAGCACCCAGACACACACAGCACCCCCAGACACACACAGCACCCCAGACACACACAGCACCCCCAGACTCACACACAGCACCCTCAGACACACAGCACCTTCAGACACACACAGCAGACACACACAGCACCCAGAGACACAGCACAGCACACAGCACCCCCAACACACACAGCACCCAAACACACACAGCACCCAGACACAAACAGCACCCCCAGACACACACAGCACCCCCAGACACACAGCACACCCCCAGACACACAGTGCAGCCCCAGACACACACAGCACCCTCAGACACACACAGCACCTTCAGACACACACAGCACCCTCACTCACACACAGCACCCTCGCTCACTCACACAGCACACTCTCACACATATACAGCACACACACATTTATATATCTATATATATAATAACCCTCAGTGAGTTAACAGACAAAGAAAATTAGAAACCTAGAATGTGACGGCAGATACGTCACCTGTACACACACACTACAGCCCGTATGCACATACATGCTACATCCCCTATAACACTATGCCCCCTATACACACACTCTCTACAGCCCCTAGCCACACATATTACACCACAAACACAAATGAAATTGACCTATTTACACAATACCACACCACACTCTACACACACGCAATCCCACAAGCAGGCTCCAAGCACATGCACCATACACTTTCCTGGCCCTTTTGACCTCTGGTATCCCACTTGTGGAGACACCAGAGACAATTTAAAAGCAAACACAGCGCAAGCATGTTATTAAATTTGCTTGCGCTGCGCAGAACAAAATTCAGGGCCTACCATGTGCCCCCCCCCCCAAAAAAAAATTAATCCTAGAGACGCCACTGAATGGGAAAAGCCTTATATTTAACCTTTCAACTTTCTAAAACCCCTTAAAACATGTACATGAGGGGTACTGTTGAACATGTGAGAAATCACTGAACACAAATATGTGTATTTTATTACAGTAAAAGCTAACAGTATTATGGCATTCATAGTTAAAATATAATGCAGAACTTGAAATATAACCAAATTCCTTAATCTCTCAAATTGTTTTAGATTTTATTCATGTTAAATTATGTTTCATATATGAATATTAGATGTAAAATGAAAGCCCTGTTTCTCCTGAACAAAATTATAATAAGTGTGGGTGTACTTATGAAAGAGGTAAATTATAGTTGAATATACTTATAGTGCAAATTCAAGGTTTCGTTTTGATTAGAACGTGTACAACTGTCTCCGTCCTTAGGGGCTTAAATATTCAAAAGTAAAACATTTATTGGATACTGCAATATTTGGCCCAGACTATATTACAACATATTTACTAACTAGTATCAACTGTTCTATTTTACTAAAACTCATACATATGGACACATAATAACTGTGGCATATAAATGACACTTACAATGACTGCCAATAAGTGGCAAAAATATAACACATTTAATATTTATATTTGTAATGCTTATTTGCAGTGAATGTTATTTTAAGATTCATACTATATCATCCTTAGAAAAATAGTTTTATGTGGTTTTTGTTCAAGATATGTTTGCAACAATGTGTATTTTAGCTAAATTACCATCATAACCAAGTTTATTAAAAAAAATTGCTATCATTTTCTTTTCAATTACAATACAAGTAGTTAATTCTCTTAAATAGCTGAAGACTTGATGTGCAAATTGTTCTAATGTTTAAAGTAAACAGAAATTTCAGGATCTGTGTTGGAAAAACGATCATGTTTGTTGTTAACACAAAAGTGTTCTACATGTAAATGAAGGACACAGTGTTTATACATTTTATAGCTGAACACCAAGCATGAAGATGCAGCGGACTACTGGTGTTAAACGGACACTCCAGAACCTTAGAGCACTTAAAGGGACACTGTAGGCACCCAGACTACTTCAACTCATTGAAAAGGTCTGGGTGCCAACTCCTATCACCATTAACCCTAGAGTGGTAATTATTGCAATAATTACCTACTAGGGTTAACTCCTCCTCTAGTGGCTGTCTATCAGACGGCTTCTAAGACGACTTTTGGTCATCTAAACAACGCTGGACGTCCTCACGCTCTGCATGGAGACCATTAGCATCACCGGAATCCTCATAGGATAGTATTGAATAATGCTTTCCTATGGGGAGATCCTAATGAGAGCATGGTTATTGCTGCGCATGCACATTAGGTCTCCCTCTGGTGGAAGCGGGGGAGGAGAGTGGGCGGGGCTGAGCCAGCGCCGAGGGACATCGGCACTGGACCTAGGTAAGTGACTGAAGGGGTTATTAACCCCATTTAATGCTGCAGGAGGGTGCCTTGACAGAGAGGAAAGATATAGTGCCAGGAAAATGGGTTTGTTTTCCTGGCACTATAGTTTCCCTTTAACCCCTTAAGGACACATGACATGTGTGACTTGTCATAATTCCCTTTTATTCCAGAAGTTTGGTCCTTAAGGGGTTAAAGCCTTGCAAAGACTTCTCATTGAGCTGCATGAGGAAGTCTGTGATTGTACAGACACTGAAATTCTGGGCTAGAAGAGGCAGGCTTGCAAAGTCTACAGACAAGGGATCTGCAGCTTTATCAAGCTGTATAGAGGTATAACCCAAGTGAAAAATGCACAATTAAATCAATGCATATTTTCATTGAGTGTATATCTACCAAACAGTGATTTATATTTTGTTTGTATTTGAGCAATTGAGTGCCTCATTAAGTGACTATTGTCATCATTTGCTTTACTACTCCAGTCTCAGAATTTTTAGTAAGTTATTTAAGCTATCCTGACTGTACCATATCTGTCACCACATTACTAGAATGTGTGGATCATCAATCATTTTGAATAATGAGACAAATTAGTGTTTAATTAGGATTCAGCTTTTCATAATTTGCTGCTTTGTTCCTGCAAACAGCTGTTACAAAATTATAGCTTTATTACATTTACATTTTTAGAAGTAACACTGTCATTTTTATGTTTCACTTTTAATATAACTTGTTTGTGTAGTCTTGGGGGAAGGAGATAAAAACATTACATATTGTTTTAAGTGTGCAAACAAATAAATACAGTATAATAAACTGTATTACAAGATTACACCAGAAGATGGAGCCCCTAGACATGGAAATTGTGGGATGCAGCTAAAAGGAATAAGTGTATATACATTTTTTTGTCTCCTCGATGTAAAGCAGTGGTAGGGAACCTTTTTTCTGCCAAAGGTCATTTGGATATTTATAACATAATTCGCGGGCCATACACAATTATCAACTTAAACAGGAGACTGCAATCTTTGGTCAAACATTTTATTAACTCACCCCTAATATTAATACTTATCTTTGGTGATGCGTGTGATGTTAGCTGGTATTGATGATGTTGCTACTCGCATCTGCTGCCTACTGGCGACCCACGATCACGTAATACCACTATTAAGCTGCCTGCAGTGCCTGTTGTGAGAGACTGTGTGTTGTGTCGGCCGCCACTCTTGTCATGTCGCCCTCACACACCCCAAAAGCTGGCACAGTATAATAGGCCCCCGGGCAAAGCAGTGCTCTTTATACACAACCACTCACAGAAAATAAAAATGAAATTATTGATAAACTTAAGCTTAAATGTATTGGTACCTCCAATGCAATACATACAATATATACATACAGAATGCTGAATACATTTACAAACTGCTGAATACATTCACAAACTGATGAATGCATTCACACACAGATTGCTGAATATATTCACACACAGACTGCTGAATACAGTCACACACAGACTGCTAAATACACAGACTGCTGAGTACACAGACTGCTGAATACATACAAACACTGCTAAATACACACACAGACTGCTCAAAAAGTACACATGGACGGCTGCATACATACAGACTGTGAATACACACACATAGACTGCTGAATACACACGCAGACTACTGAATACACATGCAATACGAACATACAATTCACACACACACACTGCTGAATATACAGACTGCTAAATACACACACAGGCTGCTGAACACACACACAGACTGCATTGAGGGGAGCAGTGAATGTGTGAGGGGTGTCGTGTGTCTATGAGGCGCGTAGTGTGTGTGTGACGGGGTGCAGTGTGTGTGTGAGGAGTGCAGTGTGTGTGAGGAGGGGCAGTGTGTGTGTGACAGGGTGCAGTGTGTGTGTGTGTGGAGTCCAATGTTTGTGTGTGGAGGGGCAGTGTGTGTGTGAGAGGTGGAGTCTGTGGGGGGACGATGTATAATTTTTACTTTAAAAGATTTTTTTTAAAAACCTTTATGCCTCCCCCTCCTTCTTACCTTTGGCCTGGAAAGAGGGGAAATAATGCTGCAATCTTTGGTGGTCCAGTGGTGGAGCATGAAAAGAGTAAAGTCAGCCTGCAGCCAGAGAGGTTGCAGGGTGACTACTCTTTTCTTCCTTCAAGCACAGCGCTGTGTTGGAGCGTTGCCATGTTAATGTGCTGCAGCTCTCAGACATGCATGTTCACGGGATGAACACAGCCTCCTTTAATTTCCGTGTGACATTAATAATAAATACCTCTTTTATGTGGAGATTAGAAAAGCACACAACTATCAGAGCATTTCAATATATTCACAAAAAAATGTTCTTCTGCTGTATTATGCTGCAAACAATTTAAATGCCCTAATAATTCATTTTTCTCATGAAACTTTCATGATATATGCATTGCAGCTGAGTGATTGTATTGACAGGATGTCCATGTCATATTCTCTTAGTGATCTCTACTTGTTGCTACAACGGCAAATCTTTCCCTGTAAGTAGTATATTGCCAGGAAACCAATTTCTATTCCGCTTAGTCTTAATAAGTAATCAGTAATCCTTCTCTAGCCCCTTGGTGACCTAGCAGTAAAAGCTGCCTATCTCTGACCCAGCATTCATTATTACCGGCAGATGCAAATACAGTGCTTTGCTGTTATTTGAGTACTTGTTTCATCAGCGTAATCCAGTGCTTACTGAAATAACCCAAAAGAAAACAGGGAACCATAGCCAGGTGACTGGATTTAAAAGTTCTTCATATGTTGAATTACTTGTTGTGAAGTGAAAAAAAAATAATCTACCAATATTTATATATTTATTTAAAGCACTGATGTCTAAAGGATGCGATTTTGTTATGAATTGTGTTTTCAATTAAGTTCTACCTGCTGCCTAGAAACTTAGTTCACAACAGTTTGTAGATGTGACTAGCATATATATAAATATTCCTTTGGAAGTAAGATGATTTTCTCCTATACGTTTAAGTTAATATCTTTTTGCCATACTAAACAATATTGTCTATTTACACGGTTCATGGGAGGTATAGAGCAGGACTTGACAAATCCCAGACGTCAGAACGCCATGGTGACTATGAATTTTGTCTTGGCGCCTGGGTGTTTGTCAGCCCATTCATGGAGGCAGGCGGCTGGCCGGCCAGTGGAGCATGGAGGCGACTGTTTGACTGAAGGAGTATGGAGGCGGCTGGCTGAATGAAAATTGAGGCCGGCAGCTGTAATCTTCGAGTTGTTCTTGCTCTGCTCGGGTATATGACGTCACTCCGACTGCGACATTACGAAACAGTGCATGATGGAGCAGAGCAAAAAGAGCTTGAAGATTACAGGATCAATTCAGCCCCACTGAACCACACGGAAGGGATCCACTCCAGCTCTTCTAAAGGTAGGCTGGGTATACTGAAATAAAACAAAAAAACAAACAGCAACTATTTGCAAGTGTGTGAGATAATATGTGTATGTGTGTCTGTCAGTGAGTGTGTGTGTCTGTCAGTGAGTGTGTTTATCTGTCAGTGAATGTATGTATGTGTGTGTCCATAAGTATGTGTGTCTGCCAGTGTGTGTGTCAAATCAGTGAGTTTGTGTCTGTCAGAGAGTGTGTGTGTGTGTATTTTTGTCTGTCAGTGAGTGTATTTGTTTAGGTGATCTTCCCTACTCTAATCACATGGGAAAAGTGTTTTGACTCACATTTTTTGACAAACTATGCCGTTCTTGCTATGTTCTTGCTGTCACCATGGCTGTTATATTCAATCTTGATAATCTCAGCCAAGCCAATGCTTTCCCAGCTTTGAGAGGTTATTGAGCATGCGCTAATCAGCATCTCCTCGTAGAGATACATTGAATCAATGGGGAACATTTAGCGTCTCCATGCAAAGCATGGAGACGTTGAACATAAGTGTTGCATTCTGTGCAACTAGGAATCACCTCTAGTGGCTTTCTAAGTGACTGTCACTAGAGGTGTTAGCAGGCAGCAATGTAAACACTGGCTTTTCTCCAAAAAGAGAGTATTTACATTGAAATGTCGACAGGGACAGACTGTAGACATATGGGCGTTCGCAGGAATTTTTCCAAGGGGGGGCATAATTGTAATGACATCCAGGCTCGGCCCCTTTTTGCAGGGCTGGACTGGGGATACAAAGCAGCCCAGGAAAAAAATGTATGCCAGCACCATAAGTCATTGTGCCATGTAGTGTGTGTGTGTGTGTGTGTGTGTATATGTGTGGTATGTTTCTTTTTCTAATTCAAAATATTGGTTCTGTCAGTGCAAAAAATTTTTATTATACAGTAAGCATACTCACATTGATACACATAAGCTCGTTGTCATAAAAACACAAGCTCAGTCACTGACACACACAAGTAGGCTCACTAACAGACTAACAGTAATCTCACTGACACATACAGACAAACTTACTTGTACACACGCACAAACTTAGTACAAACTCTGACACTCACACAAGGTTACTACAGACGAACTCATTGGTATACAAACACAAACTTACTACAGAGAAGCTTATTGTCACTCACACACGCTCACTACAGACAAGCTCATTAACACACATGCTCACTACAGACAAGTTTACTGTCACACACATGCTTCCTACAGACACGCTCACTGACACTCACACACAAGCTCACTGGCAAACACACACACATGCTCACAACAGAAAAGCTCACTGACACACACACGATCACTACAGACAAGCTCACTGACACACATGCTCACTACAAACAAAGTTCACTACAGAAGAGCTCACTGATACACACATGGACACTACAAACTCACTGACAAACACATGCTCACTACAGAAAAGCTCACTGACACACATGCTCATTACAAACTAACTCACTGACACATATACACATGCTCACTACAGACACGCTCACTGACACACACATGCTTACTGCAGATAAACTAGTTGACACACAAGCTCGCTTACACATAAGCTCACTGACACACACATGCTCCATACAGAAAAGCTCACTGACACACATGCTCATTAGAGACAAACTCACCGACAAGCTTACTACAGACAAGCTCATTGACACACATACACATGCTCCCTACAGAAAAGCCTACTGACACACAGATGCTCACTACAAACTCACTGAGACATACACACTACAGACAAGCTCATTGTCACACACACATGCTCACTACAGACAAGCTCACTGATACACACAAATGCTTGCTACAGAAAAGCTCCACGACACACATGCTTACTTACAGACTAGCTCACTGACACATATACACATGCTCACTATAGACATGCTGAATGACACACACAGGCCCACTACAGAAAAGAAAGCTGACACACACAAGCTCGCTTACACATAAGCTCACTGGCACACACACACAAGTTCACTGACACACACACACACAAGTTCACTGACACGCATACACATGCTCACTACAGACAACCTTGCTGGCACACATGCTCACTACAGACAAGCAAACTGACACAAATGCTCACTACAGACAAGTTCACTGATGCACACGTGGTCACGACAAACTCACTGACACACACACCGATGCATGCTCACTTACAGACAACCTCACTGACACACACATACAAGCTCACTCACTAGCAGGCAAATACACACACAATCACTGTCATGGGCTGAAGCTTACCTGTCACAAAAGGCTGTGCGAGACTGGAAGCACTGGGAGGTGGTCTCCATGTTCTGTCCTCTTCCTATGTCAGAAGCATGAGTGCGGGATTGGAGTTTGTGAGGGGCGGGGCTTGCATGCAGGAGGTGGAGTCTGAATGCAGGGGAAGAGCACAGAGGCACAAAAATGGTGAGGATTCAGAAAGGAGCCTCACAGTGCTCCCTCTAGCCCCCTGGCAGCCTTAATGCAGTCCCCAGCATGTTCCTTCAGCCCCCAGCGCCTACATCCTTCTTTCCCTCTGACTGAGCTGTCACAGTCCGAGGGAAAATTGTCTGTGGGGAGGGGGCATGTTGAAAAAGCCAGTGATGGGCAAGTACCCCGCGCCCTTGCTTTTCCCCTGCGTACACCCATGTGTAGACACCAGAACCACTACATTAATCTGTAGTGGTTCTGGTGACTATAGTGTCCCTTTAAAAAGTTAATTTTGTTGTGGAACATTAAGCTTTGTTAGCTAAAAAAAATCTGTCTCCTAACTTTATTAGCTGGCTCCTAGATTCCAAGCAAATTTGTGAAGCCCTGGTATAGATCATGATAGTATGTGCATGTACATGTTAGCAATCACATGACAGAATATGGTAGCCAGTACATGTATACTGTGGGAACATTGGCAGAACATTTGTTTTATTTATTTTTTAGAAGTATGTTTCATATATGTGCCCTGGAAACACATAAATGTATTTATATATTTACATATTTTTCCCCATTATTATGTCTCTGAGACACTTTTTATCTGTGTCATTCCTTTAACTTTTTTACCTATATCTGTTTCTCTGTCTCATCTTATAGGGCTGGGATAGTCTGTTATAGGGCGGACAAGAATTGAGAAGTAGCCCATGGATCCATGGTTCTGCTCTCTCAAACTATACAAGATCTTTAATTCTGGAGGCTTTGGACTACACCTCCCATGATGCTTTGCCAACATTATGGCTGTAAGAGCATTGTGAAAGATGTATCCCACAACATCTGGACTGCCCAAGGACGTCTACCCCTGCATTAGAATATGAGTAAATTATATTCCAGCATCATCCATTCTGAAGCTATGTGCAGTACAAGAATCTGAGAGAGCTAATCCTCAGGTATCATGCTTTCCGTTCAAAGCACATAGGGACTATCAGGGTTATTCACTAAAGTGAAAATTGTCAGAAATCCAAAGTAAATTTCAAATTTAAAAGAACACTATAGTGTCAGGAATATCAACATGTAAATGTGTATCAGGTGTATTGTCCTGATGAAAGTCAACATGATGGACTGAAACGTTGACATGCTTGGATAAATCTTAAGTAAAGAAGAACTTTTTGAATCTTAGGATGCTGGCATTTTTTTCTTGATAATTTCTGACACCATACGTCTAAATAACTGTTTAGGTTACCTCAAGTAAAAAAAGGTGATTTACTTAACTTTTTCAAGCTCCGTGTAGGTCTGGTTGTGGTTGACCCCACCCACGCAGCTGTGCCAATCAGCATCTCCTCATAGAAATGCATTGAATCAATGCATCTCTATAGGGAAAAGTTCTGCGCCTACATGCAGTGCGTCGAGATGCTTAACATCAGTGCTGCACAACCTAGGAAGCCTTTTTAGAGGCTGTCTGAGTGACTGCCACTGGAGGTGTTCCTATGCAGTAATGTAAAAACAAGGCAGTGCTTACATGAAAATGGCTGCAGTGTCAGGGAGGGCCGGTGCAATTATTTTTAAGTACATAGGCGAAGATGCATTTTTGTACCACCTCCCAAAAAATAACAACTTCACCTATGTGCCTCTTAACCTCCCTTTTGTGTTTCTTATCCCCTCTTTTAAATGTCTTACTCCCTTTAGTTTATCGTATCTCCTATTTGTCTTACACCTCCCTTGTGTGTCTCTTACAATCCCCCTTGTCTGTCTCTAATCTCCCCTCTTTGTATGACTCTTGCATCCACCCACATTTTGTGTCTTACTACTTCCAGCCTCTTTGTGTCTTTTACTCTTCCCAGTTTCTTTAGTGTGTGTCTCTTTCACCCCAGCCCATCTGTCTCCCCCCTGCCTCTCTGTGTGTCTCTTTTTACCCTTTTCAAGCCCTGCTGTGTGTTTCTTTCACATCCAGCCCCTCTCCCCACACCATCCCTCAGTGGCCCCCTACCTTCCCTGTCCCTTAGTGTTCCTCTCCACTCCACTCCCCTCTCCTTTTTCTGTTCTTTAGTGTTTCTCTCCCCTCCCTTTCCCTTGGTGCACCTCCCACCCCCTTATTGGTCCCTCCCCTCTCTGGTGTGCCTTATGATGCTCTTGTAGCGTGGCCTAATGGAACGGCCTGCCGTACAGGAGCTTCAGTTTCCTGTACCCGGCCGATCTGACAGGAAAGGCTCTCTCAGTGAGGAAACAGAATCTTAAATAGCATTAAGATAGAGACTCACCAGTCGTGCAGTGTCCCGGGATTCTCAATGTGAGGGACCCTGGAAAACTTCTGCCAGGTAGCGGACCTGTATAGGTCAAACTGTTGCCGAGAAAGGGGATCGGACTTTGACTTTTCATTTTGAATTAATTCCCAACAATTGTCACTTAAGTGAAAACACTGAAGGTCTATGTTACTGTTGTTCTCTTGCACATGTGGAATCCTCCATAGAGTTAGTCAATGCCTTTTTCCCTACAGCCATCACTAGTGAAGGCTGGGGTAAATGACACAACTTGACTACAGTATAAAATTCACATTTTATAAGGGGGTTGGCCAAGCTGCTTTGAAACAGTTGTGCAGACAAGTAGTACTAGTCCTTATGGGTTAATTGAAAAGAGTCAGAACATCTTGGCATTCTAATATGTAATCTTGCTCAGTTACTTTACTGTGTTATATTCAGGGCACAAATGATTTATGTTATATGTTTGCTATGCTTGATTTCAGCCCACAAGGCACAGAAGATATGCCATTATGTGAAACTTCTCACATATGAGGACAATTTTAATTTAACATTTCTAATGAAAAAAATTAAACATCTCGGTGTATGTTCCTTAATTTAATTCTTATAACAGTGTAAATAGCCAGACCATTAAGCAGATTGCTTGAAAAGGTTTTATTTTTATTGATTAGAGTATCAGGTATAATATTCTTATCCCATAAAATTTTACATAAAGTGTACATTTGGAAGTTCAAAATGAATTGTGAACTTTATGGGTGATTAGCTTTGTAGGAATGCAAATTAACAGAGCAGTTTTATCACCACCCTACCTATTAAGTAGCTGTGTATTGCTACTTGTTCATTTAGTTTCTTTATAGGATTACATATACTTCCTTGCACTTCCTTTCTTTATTCATCTAATGCTTTTTATTATAGTCCTTCTCGGGAATGAGCACAGATGGTTCTTAATGGATTCTTACATTTAAAAATGAGAATATATATATATATACACACACATTATATATATATATATATTTTTTTTTTTTTCATGTTTAAATCTTTATTTCACTTTTTCAAATTACAGAGAAAACACAACACTGTGCATCAGTATAACAAAAAAAGGAAAAAATTAATAAAAATAAATAAAAATAAAAATAGAGATAAAAAAAAATTAAAAAAATAATATACAGAAATAGAGAGATACCATTCACAATTCGAGATATTTTATTACTATCTTTTACAATCTCATCTAACTTATTTTCGGCTTCAGTAACACAGCTTTTTATATCTTTTCACTGAATTATTTTTTACAATAAACATTTCCTTTCTCTTTTTCTCCTTTCTCCCTTTCTTTTTCTTTTCTTTCTCCTTTTCCCTCTGAGATAATTTATTACAAGAATCAGGATATGTATAAGGTAAATTTTTATCCCTCCCTCTCTAAAGAAGAAAAAGAAAAGAAAGAAAAAAAAAACAATATATATATATATATATAGATAAATATATAAATTAAAAATAAAAAAGTACAATTATAGTAATTCTTCCTTTTATAAGTCTACATTTCCAATTTTATTTAATTTATAGAATTCCATATCAAACGTCTATATCAATCTGTTTTTGTTTTTTTGGTTTTGTTTTTTCCTGTTCTCGTTCTCTTTCACTCGTCTCTCTTCCCTTCCCTCTTCCTTCATTTGTTTTGTACCACCTAAATTTTATTTACCATCTGTATTAATGAGACTATTTTGCTTGTTTCATTCCCCTTATTTTCTTTTAATTTCCTCTCATTTCATTTCCACCTCACCCAAATTTTTTCATAAATGTGTTGTTTGCCTTTTAGCCTATATGCCATTTCCTCATACATTTTAGTAGTAGAGATCTTTTCTCTTATTATACTTAATGATGGTACCTGTTTTGTTTTCCATAAATTGGCTATAGCATTTTTTGTAGCCATCAAAATATGTATAATTAACACTTTTTCTTGTGGCAATATTCTCTCTGGCATAATGTGTAGTAGGAATATTTCTGGTTGCAGGGTTATCAATGTGTTTGTAACTTTAAAAATTAATTGTTGTATGTGTTTCCATACATCAATAATTTTTTTACACTGCCAAAATATATGAGTCATAGATCCTTCCATTTCCCCACATCTCCAACATGTCCCCACATTCTCTGGATATATTTGCGCCAGTTTTTGTGGCGTCATGTACCACCGTAGCCACATTTTGTATATTGCTTCTATGTGTTGTATATTATGTGTGGCAGCCTTAGTTGATCTCATAGCCCTATACCATTTAAAGGGCTCCCACTCGTTGTTTAGCTCCTTCTCCCAATTTAACATGAAAGGCAATTTATCTGGTTTTGTTAAATGTAATATTCCTCTGTAGCTTATTGATAGAGGTTTATCTATATATATATATATATATAAGGTATTACAAGATACACATTTTATCAAATGTTAAATATGGGACCTCTGTCCATATTATGTACAAGAAACCTGTTAATTAAAGGCTGCCTATTTTTATTTTAATAGATAATGTAATAATCTTCATCACCCGGTTATTAGCTCCTTTCTAACATTCTAGATCAGGGGTAGGCAACCTACTGAACTAGTGCCATGCACGGCACTCGAGGTGTCTTTCCACGGCACTCAAGGCTGCTAGAGCCAAACAGGCTCTGGCCTATCAGGCATCTCAGTGAAACTTTAGATATCTTCTAATACGAAAAGGTGGTGAAGGAAAATCCTCAATTTATGCATTGCAGAACGTAGAGGAAGTGACCTCAGGTAAGTTCCTCCCAGCACTTGTGAATGGGAATCCACACTGTAGTAGAGCAGCCTGAAGCTGCTGTTGCAGCTCCTGTCCTTGACCTGTATCTGGCCAGCCTGGTCTCCACTGGAACCCAGGGAAGCCACTCAAACAGCCCACACACAAACATACACACAATCCCCACTAACGCAACACCACTAACAATCCACATGCATGCACACAATCCTACATGCCGCCTCTCACATGCAATACCCCCAAACAGCCCCCACACACTACCAAATACTCAATGTGACATATCCATCCACACACAATTCCACAAGCAGCCCCCATACACAGCCCACATTCATATGTATCATACACGATACCATAAACTACTAATGAACATATTCAATATAATAGCTCATATACACACACATACAACAATACAAAGCAATTACAGTAAAAATAACACAAGCAGAATACGGCAGCATACACACCTCAATTTAAAAAAATAGGATCGGCACGCTACGGGACATCAGAATCCTATATCGGCACAGTGCTGCTAAAAGGTTGCCTACCCCTGTTCTAGATAGTCTTTTATGGCCTATCGACATCAGTGATTTGTGTACCCAATTATTATGACGTAGGGCAAGACTTTCTAATCCTTTTTAAAAGTGAATATAATTCACATATTCTCCTAATTGTTTCTGGGGTTTTTTTTTTGGTGATGTAGAATCTTTACTTTTTTGGATACAAAAAAAATATTATAGGAGACAGGTTTTAAAAAACTATGCATAAAATAACAGTCAATCACAAATAAATAAAGCAGTAGAAAACTCCATAATTTCTGAATATTAAGAGTGTAAGAACATATAGTATTATGTATAATAAAACAGGTTCAATTGAAATCAGATAGCTGCAACTAAGTAACAACAGCCACATGCTAATCGTATAACACCACAAAACCAATAGAAAAAGCATAACCCCAGTCAGGTTAAAAAATTAAACATTATTTTTACTTTGAACAATTATATAAGACAATATAAAATATAAAAATCAAATAATAAATCAAACTTTTATTTATTTTATTTTATTTTTTTGTATCATATGGTATTAACCCCTTATAACTGTTTGGAGGGGTAAGTGTTTGTGTTTTTTTCGTGATTTTTTCCCACCTCTTTACTGTTCAGCCAATCATTGCATTTTTCTCTTTAATATATATTCTGGATCTTCATGCAGACATATTAAATATCTGATTCTATTTTGTATTACTCTTAGTAATGTAGTTTATTTTACCTATATGGAAACTTCCCTTGCATAAATAAATAAAAAATGCTAGTTGAATATGTGTTGATGATAAAGCCAGTTTTGCTTAAATTCTAAAATCACTCAATACATTATTCTAGCAAATTTAGTGTACAATGTGTTATACTAACCTAAAGGTTGTCATTTGCATTGTGTTTTGTGCTGCAGGTGAGTTTAAATGCCCTTTCAATTCTAAACATGAAATCCAAAATTTAAATATAATTTTTACTTTTAGGCTGACCACATAGAGGTATAAATGAAACTCTTAATAAATGTTATCTGTATTTCTGCTATAAAATATTTTACTTATTATTATTATTTTTTTTTTTTTTATGCAGGTTGCAATGGGATTTCTCCAGGTTGGTTTTGTTTCAGTGTACCTCTCTGATTCATTGCTCAGTGGATTTGCCACAGGTGCCTCCATCACTATTCTTACATCTCAAGTAAAATATTTATTAGGGATAAGTATACCACGTGCCAATGGGATAGGGTCTTCAATTTACACATGGATTAACATTTTTCGAAACATTCACATGACTAATATTTGTGATCTTGTTACAAGCATTTTGTGCCTTCTCGTTCTGATTCCAGCCAAAGAAATCAATGAATGTTACAAGTCTAAGCTCAAGGCCCCGATTCCCATTGAACTGTTTGTAGTTGTTGGTGCAACTCTTGCATCTCATTTTGGTCATCTGCATGAAAATTATGGCTCCAGCATTGCAGGCACAATCCCCACTGGATTTTTGATGCCAAAATCACCAGACTGGAGTCTTATTCCTAGCATTGCACTGGGAGCATTGTCAATTGCTATTATTGGATTTGCAATAACAGTCTCTCTGTCTGAGATGTTTGCTAAGAAGCATGGCTATGAGGTGAAGGCAAATCAAGAAATGTATGCCATTGGATTTTGCAACATCATTCCAGCTTTTTTCCACTGTTTTACCACAAGTGCAGCTCTTGCAAAAACTCTAGTTAAAGAATCTACAGGATGTAGAACCCAAGTCTCAGGGGTTATGACATCTTTGATCATATTGTTGGTGTTATTAGTGATTGCCCCTTTATTCTTTTCTCTTCAGAAATGTGTTCTTGGAGTCATAACCATTGTCAATCTTAGAGGTGCTCTTAAGAAGTATTTCGATTTGCCGAAAATGTGGAAGGTAAATAAAGTAGATACAGCCATCTGGCTGGTAACCATGTTTTCCTCTGCATTAATTAGTACAGAACTTGGTCTGTTGATTGGCATTGCATTTTCAATGGTTTGTGTCATCGTAAGATCACAGAAACCAGGGGCAACATTGCTTGGCAGGGTGGAAAATTCAGATGTTTTTGAGTCCATGGTTGTCTACAAGAACCTTAAATCTACACCAGGCATCAAGATCTTTCGTTTTGAAGCTCCCCTTTATTACGTGAACAAACAATGCTTTAAATCAGCTTTGTACAAGACATCTGGTGTTGACCCAGTTATAGTTGCAACAGAGCAAAAGAAAAAAGAGAAAAAGAAAGAAAAGCTACAAAAGAAGGATAGAGTTGTTGATGCCAAGGTTACTCAGGTGGACACCATACAGCAGCTCTACAAAGAACCTTTGCCGTTTCATACTTTAGTTATCGACTGTAGTGTCATTCAGTTTATAGACACTGCAGGAGTGAATACCTTGAAAGAGGTCCTAAATGATTATAAAAACATTGGCATTTGTGTGCTACTGGCTCAGTGTAATATTTCAGTAAGAAAGTCCCTTCGGAATGGAGACTATTTTAAAAGAGAAGAGAGCTGCATGGTGTTCTACAGTGTACAACAAGCCGTGCAGTTTGCACTATATGAGCAGGAACAAGAAGATGCCTGCATTAATGGTTCTTTAGTCTAGCAAAGCTTGCTATTTTTTTATACTCTAATAACCCTTAGTGCTGATGTGAAGCTGCGGAGTGTATCTGAGAGTGTTTGTAGGCTTCATTAACTTATACCCTAACAGGAGAGATAACTAGAATACCGAACTGGTTGACGTTCACGTGCCTTATTAAATACCATATGAGTTTAATCATGTGGTCAGTGATAGAAATAATTGTTTTCCCAATTGGAAAGCAAGATTCTGATACCTACATTAAAAGTTGTAGTCTGTAGAACACACATTTATTTTAATTTATAGTAAATAAGCATCTTAATAGAATGTAATTCATGCTAAATTAATTTTATTATAATTTCTAGATTGCACTTATTCCTTAAGAAATTCTATTAGGCAATAACATTTTATATAAGTTTGATTTTAAAGGAGAAATTAACTTTAATGTTCTATCTGTCTGTCTATCATCATACTTTGCAAGCTGTGTGTTCTATTTTTTGAATCTCTTTGCATCAGACATTTTTTCAGCAGTTTATTAATTCTGCATGTGTATGTATTACTCCTGTACACTTTTGTAATGGGTGAGGAATTCAGCAAGGTAGCGTGTGTGATTCAGCAGATAACCTAACAAATAATTCTGTTAAATACTTTATCTAATGATTCTTTTTTTCCAAAGACTCAGTCACAATGTTAATTAGCCCAGACACTCATTTCTTTATGTTTTTATTCACTATATATTGACTGAGTTCAGTGTTCTATCAAATTACATAACAGGGGCATTCAATTAACATTCTTCAAGAGGCACCCATTATTTTAAGTAATAAAGATAACATGATATCTATAAACCCATTGAATAAAAAAAAAATATTTGCTTTTCCACAATCATAACTGTTAAGCAGAACATTAACAAAAAACAAGAAAAAAAAAAATCAACAGATCGAAAAATTATATTAAAAGTGCTAAATATAACAAAACACACAACATAGTTGGTTTGAATTTTATTGAGTCACGAAGTAGGTCAGGAGCCCATTTGAAGGTTTTCTTTTACCACATCCAATTCACATGCTTCTATTTAGACATTCCTACACTAACCAGCGCAACATGAAAAAAATCAAATTGCCTTTAACATTCCAATTTTAGACTCTGGATTGAAGTTACATTTTCTGATTTCACCTGCTACAAATTTAGTTGAAATCAGAGTTGCGAAGTATTTACTATTAACTGTTTTTGTGCCAAGAGACAAAAAAACCAAAACATATAAATGCTGCGTACCTACCTCTAACATTCAGAGACAGTTAAAAGCCACACGGCACATCTGCGCTATGAGGGACTCACTGCAATATGTTTCAAGGCAGAATAACCAATTCCATTTGCCACTTCACACATTATTAGAAATGGCACCAGATGGCAAACAGAGTGTTGTTGTTTCTCATTTAATTTCACTGTGGTATGCCTGGAATGAAATTCACTTGCATATGGCTGTAATGCCTTCTTTGACTTTACAATTCTAGTTAAAAAATATTCTGTATTCTGCTTGCACCATTGAAACAATATCACTAATCTAACCCGAAATTGCAAATATATTTATTGTAGGAGTGTTTGTTACCATTAAGTTTATATTACATGATTATCTGCAGTGCTGATCAGTTATATTTTACAGTGGGTACACTAGCACCTTATAATACATTAACTTAGAAAAACATTTAGTAAATTCCTGGAAAATGGAAAGCTCACCAATTGACACATCTTGGGTATTTTAGCCCAAATTCCTAAATTCTATTTTTAATTCACTACAGTTTCATGTTCAGTGAATAAACGCCATAGTATTTAGTTTTATTAAGAATACAACAACAAAGCATCAGTGCTGAGTATTAAAGTTTGGTTCTGATTGTATAAGACCATGAAGACAAATATTATATACAGCCATACTACTCAGCAAACTAAAATATTTATTATCCACAGTATTTATATTGAATAGGCCAGAGTGTATTAAGCATTACTTCAACAATTTGGGAACATTCCCATAATGGTATTATAGATTCACCTAGTTTCCCTGTTAAATGTGGTACCCATTATATTGACACCTACTATACATTGACACTAGCTATAAACAAAAACAAACAAACTAATAGACAAACAGAAGGATGATTGTGGAATATGTTCTTGCTATATTAGGTGTGTTCGTTAGTGTTCTATATACGCTTATTGCTTTGCTATTTTTGTATGGGTTACAGATTGATGAGTTGTGTTATATAAACAGTTGAAAAGTTATATAAAAAAATGTTTGACATTTTGGTCTGATGAAAGAGCTGCTCTTTTGTAGCATTAAAGTTCTTTGTTTTCTTGCTTTTAACTGTTCACAAAACCTTCCTTTTATGAAGTCTCATAGACAAAACTAGTTGTAATAATATACCTTATTTTGGGGCTATTAGCAAATGAAAATCAGAAGATTTCAAGATGTTACAGAAATTGGATTAGCATTGATTTTATATAGTGTTAGCAGGTTTCTTGTGTGTACAGAGTTGAGAGGCACACTATTTAGAACTTTACCCCACAATAGCACCTGTTTTGCCTTGATAACTCTTCCCCTTTGGCATATGAGTGTCTCCAGGGAATGCAATAACTGGTAGTAAATAACATTTGACTAACTTTATTATGTTGAAAAAGAAAAAAAAGCTAGTAGTGCTGACAACTATGCATTTATGTGAATCACTTGCTGAAAAATTGGAATTCTATTATGAACAGTTTTATATTTTTATATTTTGTTAATTATATCACTCAGGTAATTGGTCAACACTATTTGTGCTATAATTACAGTACGTATGGCACTTGTGGCTTCTCTTATGAATGTATATATATAAAGCTAATTGTATCTATAACAGGAACATTTGTAAGAGTAACTGCTCCTGAGATATTAGCACTTAGAATAAATTAAAAATAAATAAATGGATGAAGAAGGCATTGAATGGGATAATGTTGAATGCACAGTTATCCTGAATTAGAGCAGGCTGAGTTCTATAATATGTAAAGTTACATCAATGTACTAATAAGTGATATATTGGAGGACATTACACTATGGTATAGTTTGATGATTGGAAATTGAAAATCCAACTGTAAAGTTTATATAATAAACAGAGAAAGGTGCTGAACTGAAAGGCCAAAAAACATAAAAGAGTTATCCAGGTACCATGACCACTTTGGTGAAACAGTCAGTGATCTGCGCTGCCAGATATTGTAAACCCTGCTCAGAAAAGACCCGGCGTACAGCAGGACCAAGTAAAAGGGCAAATCATTGTAAATTTGGTGAACTGAGCAAGAATACTCATCATATTATAACTACTACAGTAGGCTGTAGTGGTTGTGATGGTTTGAGTAACCCTTTAAACTTAAATTGCTGCAGTGCGAATATTATCCAGCCTCCATTCTTATTAATATGTCTCAACTCATGACAATATATTGCTTATTAAATAAACGCCACTGTTTTTGAGTTCACGCTAAAGCCTCAGGAGAATTGTTTATATATACAGTATTGCCCAGTTTGAATCACATTTTTGGTTCTGATGTTAAGCAATGATGCTAAATTGCAAACTAATGAATTGTATACAGTTATAGCACTACTTTTAATGTTACAATATTATATCTATGTATGTATCTGGGAACAAAGAAAATGTATAAATCAAAAATTAAATGAAACTATATTTTTTTAAGAGTGCTGTTATTATACTGCTGGTTAACATAAAAACTAAAATTTTAAGTGCCTGGAGGGGGACATAGAGGCTTGCAGTGCTTTTGTGAATTTAGATTTAAATAAGTTTCAAATATTTTACTGAATAGAAGAAAGTCTAATGTAAATATTTTAGAAAATATAGTTTATATTATATATTGTTATTATTTCAAATAAAAAATTTTTTTATACTCTATCGAGGAGAATTATCAAAGTGGGCTGAAAATGTGCATATATATGAAAGTGTATTTTTCATTAATGGAATGTACCTTTGGATTCCATTGGTCTCCATGGTGATTATTAGCACACGTTGCTCCTTTTTTAGCATCACAGCAGTTTAATAATTTTCCTGCTTTATTTTTTTCAGTGAATCATATATTGTTACCATTTTTCTTTGCAAATGCACTGATAATGTTATAGTAGAATACTAACTGGTTGAATGTTCTTCTTCCTTTGAGATATTCCCAAATTTATATCATAACCCCTAAAGCAGGCTTCCCCAAACTCCGGCCCTCCAGATGTTGCAGAACTACAACTCCCATGATTCTATGAATTAAAAAGGCTGAGAATCATGGGAGTTGTAGTTCAGCAACATCTGGAGGGCCGGAGTTTGGGGTAGCCTGCCCTAAAGGGACAGGTTTCTATGCTAAAATTCTCTGAACAAAGCAATATTACTAAAAATGTCAACTCACCTAAAGTGATAACTTGATATTTAATAACATGAGTCTTAAAGAACGCAGTGACATATCTAAGTATGCCAATCCAATGCTCAAAGAGACCTATATCGAAGCATCCCATTTAAGGTTAGTGAGCTTGCTTTGACTCTCTATCCCTATCAAAGATAAAGCAAAGGAGGGGACAGTTTACAGTTTAGGCATGGAGGAACAGTGCACAATTGTAATCCATGTTGATTGCAATACCTTTGTTACTCCCTAGATGAATAACATCTAATCCACCTGTGGTTCTACTTGAGCAATTTCTTAGTTATGAGTACCAATGTAAGGAGAGTAAAATACGAGAGAGAAGAAACTGAGAATTCTGTTGTTTTAAAGTATACGCAACATTCCTTCTTGGAAAACTATAAGACAAATATATTTTTGATAAGCAATATGCCAACTGCTGACATCTGGAAATGATTTATTTTGATATTGTAATTGTTATTGCTCAGACATTACAAATACGAAATTCTGCACTTTGAATCTACCATATTTATTGTTATGATTGTTTTAATGTCAAGTGTTTGTAGAAGAATAAATTTATTTTTGTTTTACCATGTACGTTACTGTGTTGTTTTATCACATTACTTTGTCAGATCACATATTATCATTGTTAGTAATAGTATAATAAGCTTAATGTTTTTTTTTTTTTTAAATATCTAAGGATATTGTATGGGATTAGGGACCTGGAGGAAGACCAGGTGACTGGTGAAAACATTTCCATGAGAACAATGCAGCTCTTTATTTGACTAATATAGTAGATAAGTAAACATGATATTAAAAATCCTAGAAAGTGACTTTCCTTATAAAATTTACCAAATAATGGGAAAGTTACACTCTCGTATCTGATATTTATCAACATGTTAGCAGCTGCCAATTAGCTCTTCACGGTGTAAAAATGATCACAACGCCACCATTCCAATACTTCTCAACATTTTTACAGCGATCAAATCAGTGGTAAAAAGGATCCATGCTGTATGCCTGGTTTTAACACAGAAATCTATTTCTGACTTTGGAAAAATTACTGGCAGAAAAAAGGTTCATTATATTTGGTTTGTGATCCATTTAATAGCTGTCTTGAGATGCAGTCCAAAAGTCAGAAAACATTATCAGCTGGTTTCCAACATTGGATTACTAGGTAAGCCAAAGAGCTCCAAAGGACTTTAGAAATTTACAGTGATTGCATTGCTTGGTCATCGGAGATGCACATTTTATACACTTTTACAAAAAAATACAGTACCTGTCACACACAACACCCATCACACACTGGACCCCTCACACACACACACTGCATCCCTCATGCAGACACAGCACCACTCACACACACAAAGCACACTTCATGCACACACACAACACCCATCACACATTGCACCCCTCACACACACAGCACCTCTCTCACACACACTGCACCCCTCACACACACTGCACCTCTCTCACACACACTGCACCCCTCACACACACAGCACCTTTCACACACACACACACACTTCACCTCTCACACACAACACACCTACACACACAACACCCCCCCACACACACACACACCACCCCTAAACACAAACACATAAACAGGAGATTCTTGGATAACTGGTGGACTGTGGTTGGTATTAGTTAATACCAAGTAAAAAAAAAAGCAGGTTTCATTTTAATTTTTTATTTTTTTTAACTTTTTTCCATCTTTTTTTATAGATATTTTTAATCTTTGCTGTTTTTATTTAAACTTTGTCCCTTTTTTAATTTATATTTTCTCCTTGCTGTTTTTATTTAAAACCTTTTCTCTCTTTTCTTATAGATATTTTAATCTTTGCTGATTTTATTTATAACTTTGTCTCTTTTTTAATTTATAGTTTTCTCTTTGCTGTTTTAATTTAAAAATGTTTTCCCTTTTTCTCTCTTTTTTTTTCTCTTGCTGTTTATATTCCCCTCCTTGTGGGTGCTGCGGCAGCTGAGCTAATTAGGGGGAGTGCCCCTTAATTTCCACCTGTGTGGGATTTGTATTGCCAATATAAACCCACTACTGACTCACAGAGCTTGCTCACTGGAGTTTGCTTGATAGTAAGCTATTTAAAGTAGTCTCTTTTAAGTAGGAGTTGAAACAACAGGGGTTTAAACTATACGCGAGTTCAAACCAGGACAGTAAATATTGTTTTGTTCACTTGTGTTTTTTGGTAACTGGGGATAAGTGCTAGCAAAATTGCGAGTTTTACTCAGTGCACATTCTGACGCATGTATGCATGCCTGGATGAATCTGTCCAGGGTCCATACCTCTGTTGCGGGTGTGAGCGAGTGGCTTTTCTGGGAGCTCAGATTGGAGATCTGGAGAGGCAAATTGCAACACTGAGGGAGATTGACAATCTTGATAGGAGTCTGTTTAGTGGGTGCAGGTAGTGGAGTGGGAGGAGATGAGACAGTTGGTGAGCAGGCACATAGCTAGGTAACAGTGGGGCGAGGAAGCCAGGGGGGAGGGAAGAGGAAAGGTTTAGCTAGTCCTGATCTTCTGCAGCCAAACAGATTTGCCCGTTTGAGTGAAGATGTTGGGAGCATCAGCTCAGGAGTAGCTGTACTGCAAGAAGCTGTTCCTTCTAACACCCGTGTGAACAACCCCTCCAGTACTGGTGAGGTTGAGAGTGTAAGGAAGGCTAGGCAGGTTGTGGTGGTAGGGAACTCTATTATTAAGAGAGTAGATAGGGTTATCTGCCACTCTGATCGTCTCAACCGAACAGTTAGATGTCTCCCGGGTGCTTGGGTCCAGCATGTTGTTGACAGAGTGGAGGGATTATTGGGAGGGGCTGGGGATGACCCAGCTTTCATGGTCCATATTGGTACCAATGACAAAGTCAGAGGAAAATGGAAGGTCCTAAATAATGAGTTCAGGGAACTAGGAAGTAAGCTAAAGAAAAGGACCTCCAAGATAATATTTTCAGAAATATTATCTGTGCTGTGCGCAACAAAATGGGGGAACTAGAGGCAATAGCATACACTAAACAATATGATATAATAGGCATAACAGAAACATGGTGGGATGAGACACATGACTGGGCAATTAACTTAAATGGGCACACATTATTTAGGAAGGATAGGAAAAACAAGAAGAGTGGTGGGGTATGTTTGTATATCAACCATGAGTTAAAGTCAAACCTTGTGACGAGGAAAATGTGGAAGCTTTATGTGTAGATATCTGTTTGTGGCAAATTAATGGAAACCAGTTATTGGTTGGGATATGTTATAAACCTCCTGATGTAAATATTAATGAGGAAGAACAGCTGTTAGAGCAAATTGGGAAAGCTGCAAATCAGAGCAACACGTTAATTATTGGAGATTTTAATTACCCGGACATAAATTGGGATAGAGTGACTAGTAATTCAGCAAGGGGAATCAGGTTTTTGAATGTGTTAAATGACTCCTTCATGTCACAACTGGTACAAGCACCAACCAGAAAGGATGCTTGTCTGAATCTCGTTATAACAAACAATGATGATCTTTTGACCAACATTCAAGTAGGGGAGCATTTGGGAAATAGTGATCACAATATGGTAATCTTTCAAATAAACTCAAAAATGCAAAAGCACATGGGGTATATTATTATTATTATTATTATGTTATTCATATAGCGCCATAAATTCCGCAGCGCTTTACAATGGGTGGACAAACAGACATGTAGTTGTAACCAGACAAGTTAGACACACAGGAACAGAGGGGTTGAGGGCCCTGCTCAATGAGCTTACATGCTAGAGGGAGTGGGGTAAAATGACACAAAAGATAAGGATAGTATTAGACTAGTGACAGTTGCAGAAGAGGAATCAGTCGGGAGCCATTAACAGTTTAAGTGATATGCTTTTATGAAGAAGTGGATTTTTAAAGATTTTTTGAAGGAGTGGAGACTGGAGGAGCATCTAACGGAGGAGGGAAGCGAGTTCCACAGGAACGGTGCAGCCCTCGAGAAATCTTGAAGGCGAGCATCAGAGGTGGGAGTACGGACAGAAGATAGACGTAAGTCTTCAGCAGATAGTAAGGGCCTAGACAGGACATACTTGTGTATAAGGGAGGATAGACAGGTGGGAGCAGCATTATGTAGAGATTTGAAAGCATGAATCAGAATTTTAAATTGAGCTCTATATCTTATAGGAAGCCAATGTAGGGACTGACAGAATGTAGGGACTGAAGGGCAGTGCGGACGGACAGGAAGAAGAGCCTCGCCCCCAGATTCATTATGGACTGTAACGGCGCAAGTTGGGAGCATGTAAGACCACTGAGAAGCGGATTACAGTAGTCAAGGCGAGAAAGGACAGTGGAATGGACCAACACCTTACTCGCATCTGGAGTTAAGTATTGGCGGATGCGCGCAATGTTTTTGAGATGGAAATGACAGGATTTGGCGATAGACTGAACATGAGGCTTGAAGGAGAGGTCGGAGTCAAAGAGAACACCTAGGCAGCGAGCCTGAGGTTGTGGAACTGATGGTAGCACTGCTGAGGGAGACAGACACAGGAGTAACAACACTTGAGGGAGGAAAGACCAGAATTTCAGTTTTGGTCAAGTTTAGTTTAAGGAAGTGGGCAGCCATCAAGTTAGAAATAGCAGAGAGGCAGTCAGAGACACTAGTCAAGAGGGACGGGGAGAGATCAGGAGAGGACAGGTAGATTTGGGTGTCATCTGCATAGAAATGATATTGGAAGCCAAAGGAGCTAATGAGTTCACCAAGGGAGGCAGTATAGATAGAGAACAGTAGGGGACCAAGGACTGAACCTTGGGGGACACCAACAGAGAGGAGTTGGGGAGAAGATGCAGAAACACTGAAAGAGTGCTGGGAGAGGTAGGAGGAGCACCAGGAGAGAGCAATATCTTGTAGACCGATATTGCGGAGGATGAGAAGAAGCTGTTGATGATCAACAGTGCCAAAAGCCGCAGACAGGTCAAGGAGAATTAGGAAAGAGTAGTGACCACAAGATTTTGCAGCGAGTAGATCGTTGGATACTTTGGTCAGTGCCGTTTCCACAGAGTGTTAGCGCTGAAATCAGACTGAAGTGGGTCTAGCAGAGAGTTGGACTCGAGGAAGTCTGTCAATCTCGCATACACAATTCTTTCAAGGATCTTGGATGCAAACGGCAGTAGCGAGATAGGACGATAGTTGGATGGGGAGTTAGGGTCAAGGTTGGGCTTCTTTAGAATTGGGGTTACAGTTGCATGTTTGAAGGGCAATGGAAATATACCAGAGGAGAGAGAGAGATTGAGAATTTTAGTGAGAGGTGGAGAAAGAGAAGAAGACAGAGTACGGATGAGATGCAAGGGAATTGGATCTAGGGAGCAGGTGGTGGGGCGGGAGGACTGGGGCAGAGTAGAAACCTCTTCCAATGTAGTGGGTGCGAATGAACATAGAACAGCAGAGGGAGTGACGTTAGGGTAAGTATTGTAAGGGGAAAAAGAAAGATGAGAGATCTCTTCCCTGATTGTAGAGATCTTATCAATGAAGTGAGTTGCAAAGTCTGAGGCGGTCAAGTTAGTAGGTGGAGGAGGAGGAACAGGGCGAAGAAGAGAGTTAAGTGTGTGAAATAGTCGTTTGGGTTCGCGGGAGAGTGTGGTTATGAGGGTATTGAAGTAATTAACTTTTGCAGAGGAAAGAGCCAAGCTTTATGAGCTCAGCATAAATGTATAGTGGAGAAAGTCAGATGCACAGTGAGAGTTTCTCCAACAGCGTTCAGCAGTTCTGGAGCATTTTTGGAGGTATCGAGTGAGATTGGTGTGCCAGGGCTGTTGTTGGGGGCGCCTGCGGCGTTTAAATGTAGAAGGTGCCATGATGTCTAGTTGAGAGGAGAGGGTGGAATTGTAGAAGGAGGTTGCAGAACTAGGACAGGTGAGGTTTGAGATAGGTAAAAGGAGAGTTTGGAGATACTAAAGCTAAAAAATGCAATTTTAATAAAATTAGGGCAGCTCTACAACATAACAACTGGCATAAACTAGATAAATGGAAACTATTCAAACAAAATTAGAAAGGTACATTTCTTATTATGTACCATTGGATAATAAATATAACAAATTGAAACCAATGTGGCTTAGTAGAGAAGTAAAACTAGAGATTAAAAATAAGAAAAAGGAATTTAAAGCATTTAAATCGGACAAATCAGAGACATCCTATATAAGATATACACAAAACAGAGAGGTGTACAGGCACTCTTTTATCCTAATAGGTGCTAAGTATCTAGGTAGCCCACTCCGAGTACCTCAAAAGATATCCATACAAACATATGATACTGCACTCTAAAAATACTAAACATATCTATATAAGTACATGTTTTCACACTGAATAAGTGATAGTTCAGAGAATTTATTCAATTGCTATACCAAAAACAGTTAATCCGTCCAATCAACATGATTTAATGCAATCAGTTATTCACACCACATCCCACCATAACCACTGTGGCTATTTCTGACCCATTGCTTATATACACTAAGTAGTATTAGAAGTTGACATAATGTTGCATAATATATTCAAAGTAATGTGGAGATGCTGAATGGCTTAATCCACATAAATGATCTTGTGCCTAACACACGTTGCCAATGATACACCACATTGTAATAAAGCGACCCAAGCAAGTCCATTCCAGTCGGTAGTTCTAGTGCCTTATTGCACCTTGTATCAGGGAACCATATATATAAGCAAAAAAAGGATAAAAATATGAAAAAATAAAAATAGAAAAATGAAAATTTAAAAATAAATCAAAAAATGTATTTACAGTCTCAGTGTGTGCACACTCTGGAAGTCAAAAGTAGGCATTATATATGCATATGAATTGGTTTGATCTCACCCATATATCTAGTGGGGGCAGTGCTGGAGCATTTCCTGTGGAAAATCCTTCTGTGAATGCTGCAGTATGTTGATGCCTGTTCCCATATATGATGTATAGTAGTTCCTGAAGTAATAAAAAGTCCAGGGTCTCTCCTGTGGTCTCTTCTGTGAATCCAGGGTCTCTCCTGTGTGTTGCTTGGGCTGCTTGGGCTGCATGGGCTGCGCGCTCGGGACCCAACCGTTCCTTCAATGGCCCTGCTAAGAGGAGATGTGGTCAATTTTTATTTTCTATTTGGTGCGCCCGCCCTCTCCTGCGGGTCGTGCACCTATGACGTCATGTCGTGCGCGGCATGTTGCCACTGCGCACGCGTGCCGCGTCAACCAATCACTGCCGTGTGAACACGGTTGTACATGAAGCAACTTTATTAGTTAGAACAAAACTGCCGTATCTCACCCAAACCAATAATACAAAGTATCAAATCACTAACATATAGATATGACGAGCAATTAAAAATTTGTTATGTTAAAAAAAAATTGAATTATGGTGTTTTTACAATCATCTAACCACCTGATAATCAATCTAGGGGGTATGTTACTAAAAAAATAGTAACTTAGTGGGATTTCCATTCATTCCTATAAGTTATATTTGACCTGTATGTCTCTCTCAGTGCATTTAAACGGAGTAACATATTCATACTATCTCTTCTGGGTAGTATTTATTCAAGTTTTCTAGATGAAGCCAAAATTACTTATTTACCATTAGGGGACACTATTAAAGGACTAAAGAAAAAAAGGGGGAAAAAAGAAAAAAGAAAAAAGAGAAAAGAAAAGACTGTACATATATATACAGGGGGGCTGTCAGTAACATGGTGACAGGTGTTCACAATCAAATGTGTGATACATCCCCTAAATATTAAATACAAAGTGAATTTTGAATAAGGTAATAACAATCGAGGTGTTGCATTTATGAGAGAAATATTGTACAGCCCAGGGGATTCTCTCAACGTTCTTTCTCGTCTTGGTAGGGTTAAAACGTATTACTATACAATTGTCCTGGATAATCAGAGATGAATATTTCGCCAAACCTGTCAATAGAATGTCAATCATGCATACTCACCAGCGGTGTACTATGTGAAAATGTCTGCAGTCTCTCTAAGTATAGACCCTGCTTTTGGTCAGGTTGAGGACCACAACTGGTCAATGCACTCAGAGCCATTGGGGGAGTCGGAGGGACAAGCTGACCAATCCTGGTCCCATTCTAATGCTGTAAGTATAAAGCCTTAGATTAGCTCAGGAGGATTGTCATATTAAACACTACCAAAGGCAATATATAGGCTACTTTTCAGGTCATAATCCTCGTTTAGCCCCTGCAAGTGTAGCGTTTCCAAGGTGCTTATCCACCTTGTTTCTTTACGTAAAAGTGCCTTTTGCCTATCGCCACCTCTACGCAACAGCTTGACACAATCGATAACCTGGAAGCACAATAGATTGACACTTTGACCTCATTGTACAAAATGTATGGGTACTGGCTTCTTGCATGTGCCTCTCTGTATGGCTAGCCTAATGTCCCTCTTATGTTCACCAATGTGCTCCTTAACAGGCCTACCAAGACGAGAAAGAACGTTGTCTATATTTGTCTATAGTATTTATCCTCAAATAGGAAATAGTTCTCCGTCAGGACAAACCTTAATAATTTCAAAATGTAGTCCTTTGTGTCTGGAAATGATGTCAATGTGTGATCTTGGTCCAGTGTCCATTTAACAGCACCTGTTCCCTCTTCATGTCCCATAGATGTATATAATGATTGGACGTCTAGTGTGACTAACCAAACCTCTGTGTGTTCACCTACCATTAAACTGTCTATTAGTTTCAAAAATTCATTGGTATCCTTAATATAGGATTTGTGCCCCGGCACATATTTAATCAGAAATCTATCAAGGATAACTGCTGGTGGTTTTAGAACTGAGTAGATACCGCTAACTATAGGCAGGGCCGTCTTTAAGGAGGGGCAAAAGGGGCAGCTGCCCCGGTCCCAGTTACTCCTGGGGGCCCTAAGGCAGCTGCCCCATGGGCCCACTGCAGCACCTGAGGTAATCAGGGGCCACAGCCCTTTAATACTGCTCTGGACCGGGCCCTTGTAATATGGGGGTTGGCTGAATACAAACACACAGCTAGCCCCTCACACACTGCCCTGTGATCCCTTTTCTTCTCCGTGGCATGCTGGGAGGAAGTGAGGTCAGATCACTTCCTCCTCAGTGCCGCTGGGGAGGAGGCACACACCACACGGAGGAGGATGCAAGCATTGTTGGGGAGAGGGACTGAGAAAGCTGATGGCAGACTCCCATCAGCCTGGGCCAACAAGCTCCCACTGGACCCCAGGGAAGCCACCTTTCTGTACCCAAAAGGTAAGGAGACAGGAGGGTGGCTAAATATGTTTTGTTTTTTTGTTTTGCTTATTTCTGATATCACTTTTATTCAAGTGTTGGTGTTTGTAATGTAACACACAGGGAATAAGTACATGTTAAAAATCCTAGAAGAACCTGACAGTTCCCTATTAAATATAAATTTTAAAAGTATTTATTTTAACATATTATTGCATCAAGTGTTATCAAAGGCTATATATCATTTCCAAATGTCACTTTTGCCAAATTCTGGACCAGGGTATGTAAGAACAGAGTTGAGACATTATTATGGCCAAGGTTGCTGGGAGTTGCTGTCCAAGAGCTGCTAGAAGGCAGAGATTAAAATATGTAAATGTACACATATATGTGTGTGTGTATCTGGCTGTGTTTATGTCCTTGTGTGTATCTGGCCGTGTTTGTGTCATTGTGTGTATCTGGCTGTGTTTGTGTCAGTGTTTGTATCTGGCTGTGTTTGTCTGTGTGTCAGTGTTTCTGTGTGTATGTATACCTGTGTATGTGTACTTGTGTGTCAGTGTGTATGTGTACCTGTGTGTGTGTTTGTATAATAATACCCTTCTCCATCGCACCCTTATTCAGCCTCTGTAAGGTTGTCTGCAGTCGCTGAATAGGATTCCCTTCTATCTGCTGATAACTAGTACTGTCATTCAATGGCGATCTAATCTCCTTTACATAGTAGTCTTTGTCCATAATGACCAATGCCCCGCCCTTATCAGCGGGCTTGATAATTATGGAATTATCTAATTTAAGAATTTGCCATTCCTTTCTAGTGACATTAGGCTCCTATTGAGGGAATCTACCCTTCCTCTGTTTCTTCTTTCGCAATTTCTTAATATCTTTCTTTACTAGATTGGAAAATATATCAATGGACTGGTTACATATGTAAGGAGTGTAAGTGCTGCTGGGTTTCAAACCTGTGTCGAGTGGTAGAGATGAATCAGTGAATGCTTGTGTCGGTTGTGGTGTCATCAGTTGAATATTCTCATTGTCCTGGGTCTGGTTCCGGGTAGTTTGTGCCCTGTTGATGTCCCTCATATTGGATGTAGAGTGCGTAGCATCTCTTTCTGTATCTGCATTGAAGAAGTGTGCTTTTAATTTTAGTTGTCTCAAAAACTTATATAGTGCTACGTCATACTCATACCATTGTGGGGTCGGCGTAGGAACAAATGATAGACCCTTATTTAATACATTTTCTTCCTGTTGTGTCAGTGGCCTACCTGAGATATTATAGATTAATTTCTCCGTCTGTCGCTTGGAGGTTTCCCTCGCCTTCTGTCTGATGATTGTCTTGTGGTAACCGCCCCCTCCTGATTGGTCTCTGTGATCGGTGGTGTTCCCTAAAAAAGCAGTTCCAAAGGAGATAAGATATAAGGAAGTCAATAATGCTTGCAAAAGGCAATTAAAGTGGCTAAACTAGAAAATGAGAAATTGATAGCCAAACAATGCAAAACCAACCCCCAACTTTTTTTCAAGTACATCAATTCTAAAAAAAAACAAAAAATTAAAGTGTAGGTACACTGGAAACAGAGATGGGTCTGTTAGTTAATGAAGAACAGGAAAAGGCAGAAATTTTTAAAAACTATTTTTCTTCAGTATATATTAATAAGGATCCTATGGCAAGAGATATGCAAATGATTGCTGCAAAAAACTTGCAGATAACTTGTGATTGGGTGACTCTAGACAAGGTGCTACAGCAGTTAAAGAAAATTCATGTAAATAATGCTCTGGGGCCTGATAGTATTCACCCACAAGTACCTAAGGAGCTAGGTGGAGAAATAAGTGAACCTATGTATTTAATCTTTCAAGATTCTTTTGTTTCAGGTATTGTACCGGAGGATTGGAGGAAGGCAAATGTTGTTCCTATATTTAAAAGGATTAACAATTCTTGCCTGGAAATTATAGACCTGTGAGCTTAATTTCTGTGACTGGGAAAATACATGAAGGGCTATTAAGGCATAATATTCAGGAATTCATTGGGAAGAACTTTGTTATTAGCAATATTCAGCATGGTTTTAGGAAAACATAGGTCATGTCAAACTAACCTGATTGCATTCTCCGAAGAAGTAAGTAGAAGTATAGATCAGGGTGTTGCAGTGGATGTGATCTACTCGAATTTTGCCAAGGCATTTGATACGGTTCCTCACAATAGGTTAGTCTTAAAACTAAAATAAATTGGTCTAGATACTACTCTTGTTCTTGGGTAAAACATTGGCTTAAGGACAGAGTACAACGGTTTGTTATTAATGGTAAATTTTCAAGCTGGACAAAAGTGGTAAGTGGTGTCCCTCAGGGTTCTGTTTTGGGAACCGCTTCTATTTAACATATTTATTAATGATCTTCCAATAGACATTGAAAGCCATGTTTCTGTGTTTGCAGATGACACAAAGCTGTGTAAAGTAGTAAAATGTGAGCAGGATATTGCTTTGCTGCAGAGGGATTTAGATCGATTGGAGGACTGGGCATTGAAATGGCAGATTAAATTTAACATAGAGAAATGCAAAGTTATGCACTTCGCGGTCAAGAATGCACAAACAACTTACACCCTAAATGGTGAATTAGGGATAACCACACACAAGAAGGATTTGGGAATTGTTATAAACAACAAATTAGGCAACAACATGCAATATTAATCTGCAGTTGCTAAGGCCAGTAAGGTTTTGTCATGTATAAATAGGGGCATAAATTCTCAGGAGGAAAATATAATTTTGCCTCTTTATAAATCGCCTTGAATATGCTGTGTAATTTTGGGCACCTGTTCTAAAGAAGGATATCATGGCACTAGAAAAAGTGCAGAGACGAGCTACAAAATTGATAAAAGGAATGAAGCATTTTAGTTACGAAGAAAGGTTAAAAACTTTAAATCTCTAGAGTTTGGAAAATCGGCGCCTCAAAGAGGAAATTATAACATAATACAAATATATTTAGGGCCAGTACATTCCATTATCTGGAAGTCTATTCATAAACAAGGCTATACATAGGATACAAGGTCACACATTTAGCCTGGAAGAAAGGAGATTTCATCTAAGGCAAAGAAAATGTTTTTTTTACAGTAAGAGCAATAAGGATATGGAATTCTCTGCCTGAAGAGGGGGTTTTATCAGAGTCCATACAGATGCTTAAACAACAATTGGGTAAATACTTGCAAAAACATAACATAGAGGGATATCATTTCTAATTAGTGAGGTAATAGCTGCTTGATCCAATGAGATATCTGACTGCTATTTTGGGGTCAAAAAGGAATTTTTTCCTACTTTGTTGCAAAATTGGAAGCACTTCAGACTGGGTTTCTTGCCTTCTTTTGGATCAAGAAGGTGGGAACTTGATGGACGCAAGTCTCTTTTCAACTATGTAACTATGTAACATACACTGCACCCCTCACTGCAGTCTGTGTGTGTATTCAGATATGTGTGTTTGTGTGTATTCAGCAGTCTGTGTGTGTCTCTGTGTGTATAAAGTAGCCTGAGTGTATTCACCAGTCTCTTTGTGTGTGTATTCAGCATTGTGTGTGTGTGTATTCAGCAGTGTATGTATTCAGCAGTTTGTGTGTGCATTAAGCAATCTGCATTAAGCAATCTGTATATGTATTCAGCATTCTGTGTGTGTTCAGCAGTCTGTGTGTGTGTGTGTTTGTGTGTGTATATTTAGTGTACTGTGTGTATGCACTCTGTGTGTGTATTCAGCAGTCTCTGTGTGTGTATGTTTGTGTGTGTGTATTCAGCAGTCTCTGTGTGTGTATGTATGTGTGTATTCAGCAGCCTGTGTGCATTCAGCAGTCTCTGTGTGTGCACTCAGCAGTCTGTGTGTGGGTACTCAGCAGTGTGTG